GAGCCACAACCCCAGCCCAAACGGTCATCTCTTAAAGTGGGTAGAAAGAAAGTACAATCTGGGTCCCACAGTCCCCCTTGAGAACACACCGCTAATGATGTAATGATCTCCTAGTAGGTCTAACATCTTAAAGATCCAGAGCAACTCCTAATACCATTACCCTGGGGATATTCAATATCCAAACCTTTGAGGCAGCCTTGTCAAAAATTATTCAATATGTTGGTGAAGGTTTCTTTTTGGGCTTCCCATATTCCATTCTGTTGGTCTAAATGTCTGTCTTTATGCCAGTGCAACACTGTTTTGATTACTATGGCTCTGTAGTATGTTTTAACATTAGGAAGTATAAATCCTCTAGCTTTGTTCTTCCTTTTCAAGATGATTTTAGCTATTGGGATTCCTTGATATTGTGTACTAATTTTAGAATTTTTTTGGTCCTATTTCTACAAAGATGTTCTTGTTATTTTGATAGGAATTACATTGAATCTATAGATCTGTTTGGTAGTATGGTTATTTTAACAATACTAATTCTTCTAATCCGTGAAATGTGGATATTGTTCCATTTACTTGTGTTATTTTTAATTTCTTTCAATAGTATTTTGTAGTTTTTGATAGACAAGTCTTTTACCCTTCATTTCATTCCTGAGAATTTTATTTTTGCTGTTATTGTAAAAGGAATTTTTTTTTTTTTTAATATTCTACTACTTTTCTGAATTTGCTTATTTTAACAGCTTTTTTTATGTGGAATCTTCAAAGTATTTCCTGCACAAAAGATCAAATCAATATACAGGTACAGTGGTGCACACTTGTAATCCCAAAGATTCATGAGGCTAAGGCAGAAGGTTTGCCAAGTTGAAGGCTTGTCATGGTAACTTAGTGAGACCCCATTTCAAAATGAAATATAAAAAGGGCTGGGGGTATAGTTTAGTGGTGAAACACTCTTGGGTCCCAGTATCAGGAAAAGAAGAAGAAAAAAAAAAAGGCATATCATCTGCAAACAGRTCATTTTACTTCTTCCTTCCTATTTTGGATGCCTTTGATTTCTTTTTCTTGCCTAATTGTTTTGGCTGTAACTAACAATAGTATGTTGATCAGAAGCGATGAAATTAGGCATCCTTATATTATTTCTAATCTTAATGGAAAAGCTTTCATTCTTTAACCATTCAATGTGATGTTCATTGTGAGATTTTCACATACAGCCTTTATTATGTTGAGGTAGTTTCCCTCTATTCCTCATCTGTTCAGTATTTTTTATCATGAAAATGGTATTGAATTTTGTTTAATGCTTTTTCTGCATCGATTGAGATGATCATGTGGGTTTCTCCTCTTCATTCTGCTAATGTGGCATATTACATTTTTTTTATATGTTGAACTGTCCTTTCAGTCCAAGAATAAATCCTACTTTATCAACTTCATCAAAAGGATTAAAATGCTAATCCTTTTAATATTTTGCAAAAAGTTTTTGCTAATATTTTCTTGAGGATTTCTATATCTGTATTGGTAAGAGGTATTTGTTTATAGTTTTCTTTTAGCGTTTATGTGACTTTCTTATCAAGRCAGTTCTGCATGCCCCCCTCATTATCATTTACTTTTATACTTATGCATATTAAAAGTTTTCATATTTAAAGCAAAAACTGAGAAATGAGGCCAATTGAGTATTAATGAAATTGCAGAAGTAATTTATATGGAAATAAATAAATAGATACTGTTGTATCATTCATTTTAGTTACAATTAAGTTTGGGTACATATAACATGAAAACCCAAATCAATAGTGGCTTATAAAAGTAGAAGTATATTTATCTCCATCTTTTTATTTATTTATTTTCATGTGTATGCCTATGTAGATACATAGATGGTTAGTAATAATAAGTAAACTGAAATATTCAAATAACCCAAAAGAATGCAGAAAAGGACAAACAGAAAAACAAAAAAATACAAGAAAAAAATAAACAATAAATGTTAGACCTAAACCTAAACATCTCAATAATTGCATGAAATCTAAATGAATGTCTCAATGAGAAGTTAGTSAATATAACAATATAATTTGGCCAATCACTCCTCAGCACTTTCCCTGTCCCTCCCTGCCTCCAACTCTTTGATCCCTTTCCTCTACTGATCTCTCTTTAATTTTCATGAAATCTGCCCCACCTTTCTTTTCYTTTTTTTCCTCTAGCTTCCACATAGAAGGAAAAAAAATACAACCCTTCAAATAACCTAAAACCTTCTGAGTTTTACTCATTTTGTTTAACATGATGGTCTCTAGTTCTATCCATTTTCCTGCAAATGAGAAAATTTCATTTTTCTCTATGGCTGAATAAACTTTATATATATATATATATAATCACATTTTCTTTATCCATGCATCTCTTGATGGACACCTAGGCTGGTTCCATAATTTCATTATTATGAATTATGCTGCTTCTCTCCATCTTTTAAAAATAGTTCAGGCAAGAGTATATCTTCTAGGGTACTTGCCTAACATTCACAAGGCCCTGGATTTAATCCTTAGCACTGCAAAAAAAGAAAAAGAATTTTAAAAATGGCCATTGAGACACAGCCATGTGTATTGTGGCTCAAGGGGGGTGGGGGGAAACATCCCAAGAGAGATTAGGAAATATTTTGTACTAAATCCTAATGAAAGTACAACATATCACAATCTGTGAGATTTAGGTTAGTAATCCTGAGAAGACAGTTAATTGCTCTAAAGGATTAGATCAGAAAATTAAGAAAGGCATGAAATCAGTGATTTCTACTTCCCCCTTAATAAACTTAGAAAGAGGAATCTCCTAGTAAGTACAAGAAAGGACATAAAAATAATAGCAGTAATCAATAAAATGGAAATGAAAGAGTAGAAAAATCAAAAGTAGAAGGATCTTTGAGAAGCAGTAATAGTATTGACAGCCACTAGTAATCCTGATAAAGGAAAAAAGAGAAAATACAAATTACTAGTATTAAAGCAAAAGACTTTTATCTAGTAAAAAAATGAAATTCATAATTAAAGAATTTTTCATAAACAAAATTTTGGTTTGCAGCCAGGCATTGTGACACATACCTGTAATCCCAGCAACTCAGGAGGCTGAGGCAGGAGGATTACAAGTCTGAGGCCAACCTGGGCAATTTCATAAGACCCAGTTTCAAAATGAAAAGTAACAAGGACTGTGTCTTAGTGTTACAGGGTTTCTGGGTTCTATCCCTAGTAACCCGAAAAACAAACAAACAAACAAAAAACACTGGTCTAGACAGCTGTACTGGTAAATTTTATCCAACTTATAAAGAATAAATAGTATCAATCCTATTCAAATTCTTCCACAAAACATAAGGGATGGGAACACTTCCCAAATCATTTTATGAAGTTTCTATAATCCAGGTACCCAAACCAGATAAGAAAAGTATAACAAAATAAGACTAATAATTTGTTTATTAATATTTCTGAGAACATAGCTGTTAAAATTCTTAATAATTATAATGGCAAATTGCCAGATATAAAAGGGATTATTTTACTACCATCAAGTGAAGTTTATACCAATAATGAAAGTTTTAATATATCCAAATCAATAAAATTTACCATATTAATAGATTAGAGGAGGAAAAACCTATGGTCATTTCAGGAAAAGCTTTTGACAAAATACAAATTTATGATAAAAAGCCCTAGCTACCTGGAAAAGCTCTTACCCACAAAAAGGCATTTACAAAAAACCATAGTTAACATCACACTTCATGGGGCTGGAGATGTGGCTCAGCGGTAKCGCGCTTGCCTGGCATGCGTGCGGCCCGGGTTCGATCCTCAGCACCACATACCAACAAAGATGTTGTGTCCGCCGAGAACTAAAAAATAAATATTAAAAATTCTCTCTCTCTCTCTCCTCTCTCACTCTCTCCTCTCTCTCTCTCTCTTAAAAAAAAAAAAATCACACTTCATGATGAAGTACTCCAAAAGATCAAGAATAAGACAAGAATGTTTACTTGTCACTACTGTCATTCAACAATGTATTGGTAGTTATAGCTATGGCAATGAGATAAGAAAAAGAAAAAATTGGAAAGAAAGAAGTAAAACTGTCTCCCCACCACCACACACAGATAACATATATAGAAAATACTAAGGAGTCTAGAATATATTAGAACTAGTAAGTGAATTTAACAGTGTCACAGGATACAAAGCCAATAACAAAATCAATTTTATTTTTATACTGAAATTCATTCAACATTTAGAAAATGAAATTTAAGGTAGGCTAAGGAGAAAATCAGTTGGTGTGAAGTCCAGGGCTAGCTGGGAAGCCCCAGAACATCATATTGATCTAGGTTCGTCCCTTCCTCTTCTTTCCACATACCTTTATTTTATTTTTAAATATTTATTTTTTAGTTATACTTAGAGACAATACCTTTGTTTTATTTATTTTCTTAATGTGGTGCACATCCCAGGCAAGTACTCTGCCACTGAGCCACAGCCCCAGTCCTAGGTTTCTTTCTTTATGTCCTACCATCCAGAGCCTGGTCTCCATCCTCAGTATCATCCCATGGTCTGTGACAGATAGCTGCTGTGAATCTTCTTCTGTCAAAGTCTACACTCCCATACTGGAATATGGAGGAAGGGAAAATTGGAATGGGAAAAAACAAAAACAGAAATTTCCCTTTCCAGCTCTCTCTATTCTGAAAGTCTCATATGACATTTCCATTTAGAGCTCCTTAGCCAGACTTGAAGTGATATGAACGAATTGAGAAAGTCTTTATCCTAGATAGCAGTCTTGCCTACATGACTATGAAGAGTTTTATTTAAGGAAAAAGCATAGATGGCATTCTCAGAACTCCCTTTAACCAGCCCTGTTAGGTTTGGCTATATATAAAAAAATCCACAACAGTGGCTTCAGCAAGATCAAAATTTCTGTCTTTTCCTAAAAATTGAACCTGGGAAAATATTCACTAACAACAAATTTTGTGTTTGGAATGTGCTATTCTGAGTATTTTTGTCTTTTACCACTAAATTATGAAATGAGTGGGGTGTTTGCTTTCCTTCAGCGTTCTTTTACAAGCAGCCATGTTTGTAACTTAACCCTTGTTCTTCCTCAGAGACAATGGACCTCAGATAGCCTATGTTCGGGACTTCAAGGCAAAGGTTCAGTATTTCCGGTTCTGGTGCCAGGTTAGTATTGGGACTGTATCTCTATACTTACTTTAGTTTATTAAGTTACTTATATTATTACACAGTGATTTTGAAAATGATTAACTCCTGGAAAAACAGATAAAATGGGAAACATTAGAACCTCCTTCCCCTATTTTTAGGACAAAGAAATACATTTATTGCTCTGGTAATTTGTAGCTTTTTTTTTTAATCCAGAAGATTAAGCTTAAAATCATTTGAATAATAAAACATTGTCACTTTTTCCTCAGTACTCAAATCTTCAAATACATTAAAACTTTTTCTAATGTATAATCTGTGACCGACCATTTTCATATCTATTGTTTGATACAAATGACTAATAGGTACATATATGTTCATACACAAATGACCACATATATTCAAAYGTGTTGTTTAGAGTGTTTTTCTAAATGTGATCAGCTGCTTCTAATGTCTAAATAAATTACTTGAATTAATGATTTTATGGGTACTAAATAAAATTAATACATTAGAATGTTGTTTTATAAAATATTTCTAAACTTCAAAATCCTCTAATTAACTGAGAAACCAGAAAAATCAATTAGTTTTTTAAAATAAAATTAAGATTTATTTGAGTCACTAAAGTAAGCATTGTGAATAAGATTTTTTCCCTGTTTCTCCTATATCAAATAATATATAATCAGCATGAATACTCACAAATGCATTGGTAAACACTACTGAATATAAATTCATGTTATTTTTTGTTTGTTTGTTCTATAAACAAGTAAGACTTTTCCCTTTTTGTTTTTTAGTAGGTAATTTTAATAGAATTGACTTAAATCATTCTTATATTTCAGCAATTGGCCATGCCACAGCACATAAAGATTACAGTAACAAGAAAAACACTGTTTGAGGATTCCTTTCAACAGGTATTGTCTTGTTTACTGAGTAGTTCTGCTAAGCCAGAGCCACCTTTTGGTGTTTACAGTTTAACCCAAACAGTTTTGAACTTGAGTTTGGAGTTCTTGAATTTTTAAATTTAATCTCATTACAGACTACCTTAGTATTTATCATTTAGGAACATGTACATAGTTTTGTGTATGTGTGTGTGTGGGTGCGTGCGTGCTCGTGTGCCTCAGTGTTTGCTACTCATAGTGATTARTGAGTTTCTGATTTCCACTTCTATGCTGTTTGGTGTTTGATTTGAAATAGATATAAAAATAGGGAGATAGGCTATCAATGGGCAAAGGTCTTGAAATATCCATTTGAACATTGTGGAATGGGAAAGGAGATGGGATGACTTCATTTTTACACTCTGAATTACTTAGATTTTTATTATAAACATGTTACTGTTACAATTAAAAATTATTTAGATGTAGGAAACAAAATAAATGGTCATTGATGGCAGTATCTGATAAAGGATGTGTTAGATTTCCAAAATAGTCAACAATTCTTTTTACTTGCCCCCAGAACCTGAATCAATTTAYCAATCAACTTTATCTTACAGATATTACTTTAAAAAAATACTTATTTATTTTTAGGTGTAGTTGGACACAATGCCTTTATTTTATTTATTTATTTTTATGTGGTGCTGAGGATTGAACCCAGGACCTCACACATGCCAGACAAGCGCTCTACTGCTGAGCCACAACCCCAGCCCTATCTTGCAGATATTACTAACAACCAACTATAACTAAATGTTAAGTGATTGGCCATGCCAATGGGGGCAAATGTGTTGAATTGAAAACATCTGGCTAATCCTTGTTTAAGATCAAATGTAGAAGTGATTATTTTCAAGATATCGTTGTAGCAACAACTCAAGAAGTAACTGAATGCAAAGGGGAAAGAGATTGAGATAGTTGGCAGTAGCTGGCTACTTGCTTTTAGAAATACTTGTGTTCATTTTCTAATGGAACCTCAATTATTAATATTAAAAGGGAAAGCCAGTTTGCGTCCTGCTCTGTAGGAGCAGACAACTTTTTAGTGGGACTTGGAGCTTGACTGAGACCATTTAGAGAATTGTGCTCGTACCCCTTTATCTGATGTTAGTCTCCAAGATCATTCTATACCCTAGTCTTTGCTCATTTCTAGTTTTCATATTCATAATCACTCTTTTGTCACTGAGTAATCAGTCTGTGTTGAGTGAGTTTCTTGGAACATAACTTGGAACACAGCTAGTGTTAAGCTGTGAAATAGGCTGGATGTGGTGATGCAAGCCTGTATTCCCAGCTGTAGGAAGCTGAGGCAGGAGAATTGCAAGTATGAGGYCAAACTTAGCAATTTAGGGAGACCCTGTTCCAGAATAAAATAAAAAGGACATAGCTCTATGGTAGAGCACCCCTGGATTCAATCCCCAAAATGACAAAAAAAAAAAAAAGAATAGCACTATTTAAAAGAAAATTATATAGCCGGGTGCAGTGGTGCACAACCTGTAATTCCAGCACCTTGGGAGGCTAAGGCAGGAAGATTGGGAGTTCAAAGACATTGTCAGCAACTTATTGAGAGCCTGTCTAAAAATATTTTTAAAAGATATTGGATGTGACTCAGAGGTTAAGTGTCCATGGGTTTAATCTCTGGTATCAAAAGAAAAAAAGAAATTTATATATGTGTAAAGTATACRAAGATACAGATACGTATAACATATAAAATGTTTTTGAAATTTAATGTGTTTTCTATATGTGTGGTGTTAACTAGATCACAAACAGCATTTTGTGTCCTGGGGGATTTAAGTGACCTTTAATGAAGAAAGTGTCAGATTTGGAAGTGATAGAATGATGTTTYCATAACTGCTTTTACCAATTTTCTTATTTTCTTATTTTGTAGATAATGAACTTCAGTCCCCAAGATCTGCGAAGACGTTTATGGGTGATTTTTCCAGGAGAAGAAGGTTTAGATTATGGAGGTGTAGCAAGGTAGTGATAATATGAATACTCAGAACTTAGTTCCTTTTTTCCAAAGGTATCATTGCACTTTGCTTGCAAGTATTATTTTCTCAATCTTATATTTCAGGAAAATGAAATATGGCAAATTACTGTAGCTTTATTATGCTGGAGCTACAGAATTTCAACAAACATTAATTCAGCACTTTCTAAGGTATTGCTAGTTGACTTCACCTACATCATTCATTTAGCCCTCAGAACAATCCTGTGTGATAGAATTCTACAGATGATGAAGTTTAGAGATTCATCTAACACACATAATAAGTTGTATAGCCTGGATACAACCACCTCATGTCTGTTTCACAGAGCATGCAAGGCCCTTGACATTTCCTCCTCTACATAGTACTGATACAGATAATACACAATTCCTAACTGATATTAAAAATCTGTCATGAGAATACAGAGACTATATAAAATAGAGTTGAAAATCTTAATTCTTTTTTTTTTAAAGAGAGAGAGAGAGAATTTTTTTAATATTTATTTTTTAGTTTTCAGCGGACACAACATTTTTGTTTGTATGTGGTGCTGAGGATCGAACCCGGGCCGCASGCATGCCAGGCGAGTGCGCTACCACTTGAGCCACATCCCCAGCCCGAAAATCTTAATTCTACTTTCTTCATATTGGAGCTACTAATCAAGCCCTGGAAAGTAGCCTTCAGGAAGAAATTGAGTTTCTGAGCAGGGCATGTGGTTTAGTGGTAGAGTGCTTGCTTAGCATAGTGGAGGTGCTGGGGTAGATCCCCAGAACAGCAAAAAAAGAGCCAGGCAAGTCTAGAAGCTGAAGCAGTAGAATTACGAGTTCAAAGCCAATCTCAGCAACTTAGATCATTTCTCAAAWGAAAAAAGAAAAAGAACTGAAGATGTAGATTAGGGATAAAGTGCCCCTGAATTCAATCCCCTGTATGAAAAGAAAGAAAGAAAAAAAATCACTTTCCTTATTCCATAGCAATATGTCATACCAGGGCAAAAATTTACATAGTAGTGGCAATGTGGAAAGGCAAGGACTTTGGAGTCAGGAGTGGTATTAATGTTTTCTTTTCTGCACTCAATAGTGTGATCTTCGGCAAATATCTTCAGCTGTAAAATAATAATAATGTCTATCTTGGATTATTATGAAGAATAGAAATACTTTAATGAAATACTTTAATAGAAATACATTAATAACCTAATTCAGAGCCTAAGTCTTTCTGTGCTCACTAACTGGTGACTACATTTTAGTAATCCTTTATATTGTGACATAAATTTCTTTCAAGTATATGAAATAGTCAGAAGTAAATGAGTAGATGGGCTGGGGTTGTGGCTTAGGAGTACAGTGCTTGCCAAGCATGTGTGAGGCCCTGGGTTCAATCCTCAGCACCTCATGTATTGTGTCCAACTACAACTAAAAATTGGATATTTAAAAAAAAAAAAAAAAACAAAGTAAATGAGTAGAAACCTTTAATTTTGAACAAGTTAAAGATAATTCAGGAAGAGGCCAATTATTCAGTCTTATTTAGAAAACCACTAACAATATTAAAAGCAGCATTATGACCAGAGGCCATGAACTAACAGGAAAAGAGGTCTAGGAAACTGATAACACAATGTTTTGTTCCAGATTTGTTCTACCAAACCCATACATGTTATATAGTTAATAACCACAATCTCAGGTTAATATGGGTAGATATTTTCAGAGCACTTGAATTGGTGCTTTTAACAGCATTTTCTCAATTTTTAAGGAGCTGGAATTACTTGGTTTATTGCCTCCGAAATTGGAGGGTTGTTCACATTCATCCTAAATGGAGGTAGTGGCAGCACTTGTTGAAGATCACCATGGGACTTAGCAATGCATGGGATATTAGATGCATTTCAGCCACTCTCATCACATGAGTCAATAGTGAATTTTAACTTGTCTACATGTAGTAGCATTTCATCAATTCCATGACTAATATTTTCAAAATTGGACTGTGTATTACCATTATAATTGGAAAAAAATGTTAGTGGTTCATCAAATAAAGGTGCATTTAAAGTCAATAATGGGTTAGATTTTTTTGAAATATAACAATAAGCAATGTATAAATATCAACACATTTGAGCAGAAGCAATGAAAATCAACAGATTAGATTAGAGGTAAGACAACTAGTACCAGCTAAGGAATGTAGATTCCTGAGAACGTTGTAGCATTGATCTTTGATTTGTTGGCATTGTTACTTACGAGATTTTTCATCCTGAGTTTTCTTTTGATTTCAGAGAGTGGTTCTTTCTTTTGTCACATGAAGTTTTGAACCCAATGTATTGCCTGTTTGAATATGCAGGGAAGGATAACTACTGCCTGCAGATAAACCCCGCTTCTTACATCAATCCAGATCACCTGAAATATTTTCGTTTTATTGGCAGGTTTATTGCCATGGTAAGTGCAAGTGGAGAACTGTGTGTTTACTTTGTTAAATCAACAATATTAACTTTTCTTACATATGCCATAAAAGATCATTTGACAGGGGAGTTTTTATAAATTAAGAATACACCTAATGTTTAGAAATAAAATTACTTTCATATAGTTATCTGCAATGATATTGTTTTCTTTTTGTATAGGCTCTGTTCCATGGAAAATTCATAGACACAGGTTTTTCTTTACCATTCTATAAATGTATCTTGAACAAACCAGTTGGACTTAAGGATTTAGAATCTATTGATCCAGAATTTTACAATTCTCTCATCTGGGTTAAGTAAGTTTCTATATATATTCAATTTATTAGAATAGAGTCTATATGCTTTCATTATGGTATTAGTAACTTATCAAACTATAGGCATGTAATTGGTTTATTGAATTTAAATGATCTGCACGTCAAACTTGTCTCTCTGTTTAATGTGATAAATTTCACAGGAATACCTTAAGAAACTAGGTAGTAATATGATGGTTTAAGAGCATATAACCTTCTAATTTCTTATTTTGATATTATAGTTTAATGTTAATTATTTTAGACCAGAGGCCTCAAGTCAAAACTTGAATTATGTTTGAATTTGTGGACATGACAAATAGTGCTAATTTTATTTGTACAGAGAAAACAATATTGAAGAATGTGGTTTGGAAATGTACTTCTCCGTTGATAAAGAAATTCTAGGTGAAATTAAAAGTCATGACTTGAAACCCAATGGTGGCAATATTCTTGTAACAGAAGAAAATAAAGAGGAATATATCAGGTGAGAGAGAATGTTCCTTTTGATATAGTTTAGCATTTCTGTTGATAATTTCGTATTAATAGTAATTGGCAATATTTCAAAAAAAATTTCCTTTTGTACTAATCATTATTCTATGTAAGTAGTTATTTCTCACTCACAGTTTCAGCCCAAAAGTGGGAGTTCCAAAGGTAGAAATGCTAGATCATTTCTTTTAAATTCCAATTCTGTGAACACTGTGCTAAATATCATTTCATTGCAAAAAAATCTCAAATTTGTATGCTCATATTTTCATGGGGATTACTAAAAAATTGGGCAAAATTTATAAGAAAATAATGGTTTATGGTATTTCCTCTATAATGCTTTGCACTGGTTCATTCTTGTAGTTACTKGTCCATTCATGTCTTCTCGACACCAGTTCTGTCTAATCAGGGTTAAATTGAGTGTATCTGCTGCTGCTTATGTTTCAGTTTCTATGTCTCTTGCCTGATTTTCCCTTCATAATTAGAAGTGTACAATTGCACCCATCACCAACTATTATGTACAATCATTGTTTATTAGTTATATAATGTAGCCTTTCAAAAATTTAGTTTAAACTGGATGCGTTGGCATATGCCTATAATCCCATCTACTCCTGAGGCAGTGAGTTTTGACTTCAAGGCCAGGCTGGGCAACTTAGTGAGACCCTGTCTCAAAATAAAAAGAACTGAGGATGTAGCTCAGTGATAAAGGGCCCCTGGGTTAAATCTCTTGTCCCACCCAAATAAATAAATACATTTTTTTTTGGTTTTATTTTTTAAGAGGTATAATTTAGAGTAAAATGCCGAGAGCTTACCTAAGTAAATAGTTAATATTTTGGCAATTTCGTACCAGAGATTGAGTCCAGAGGTGCTTAACCACTGAGCCACATTCCCAGCCCTTTTACTATTTTATTTTGAGACAGAGTCTTGCTAAGTTGCTTAGGACCTCAGCCTTCCTTGTCGCTGGAATTACAGGCATGTGCCATTGTCCCCAGCTGCTAAATCACTCTTAAATGTCAGTTTTGTAAACATTATTCAATATAGCATCATGTCCCTATAAAGATGACCTAAGGGGCTGGGATTGTGGCTCAGCGGCAGAGTGCTCGTCTAGCATGTGTGAGGCCCTGGGTTTGATCCTCAGCACCACATAAAAATAAAAAAACAAAATAAAGMTGACCCAAATTAAACTATGGGACTTTTTTTTTCCTTCTTCTGTCCCCCCATCCCATAACGGAGCAATACCATACGCATTTCCCTTCCCCTGGCCAAGAGGCAGCTGGTTCAGTTTAGTTTTATTTCTATATCAGATCTTGGACTTCCTAAAATGGAATCATATCATGTACTTTTTTGTATCTGTCTGTTTTATTCAGCATTATGAGATTTATCATGTTTTATGTTTCAGTATTTTATTCCTTTTTGTTGCTGAGACATGTTTCATGCTATGTGTACATCACAATTTGTATATCCATTCTCTCGTTGACATTTCAGTTGTTACCCTCTTTGGGGTTATTATGAATAAAGCTGCCTTGAACATTTTTATTGAGCCTTTTTGTGAACCATGTTTGTATTTCTCTTACATAAATACCCAGTAGTGAAACTGTTGGGTGTTAGGRTGGGTGCTTAACTTCATTAGAAACTTGCTTCCAGTTTCTTAAAGTGGTCCTGCCATTTTATAGGCCTACTAGCAGTGTTTGCATTTTTGTTTTACAATCTTGCCAATTCAGTATTGTCTGTAATATATCCTTGTAGTTTTAACTTCCATTTCATCCTTCACTTATGGTATTGAGTATCTTTTTGTACATATTGATTATTTGTAGCTCTTTTGCCCATTTTATGATGGACATTTTGTAATTGGATGTCTTTCATTGGTTATTTTCTAATATGAGCATTTAAAGCAGTTTCTAGTTAAAACTATCACAATTGTGGGACATACCTTAGCTATGTCCCACAATTGTGATAGTTTTCATTATCATTTAGTTAAAAATATTTTTTAATATTCATTGTGGTTTCTTCTTTGATCCATAAGTTATTTAGAAGTATATTGTTTAATTTCCAAAGTCTGGGGATTCTTTCCAACTACCTTTGTTTTCTAATTTAATTCCATTATAGTCAKAGAAGAGTCTCTAAATTATTACATTTTAAATATTTTGAAACTTGTGTTATAACCCAATGTGTGTTATATCTGGTACACTTGAAATGTTATGTACTGCCATTGTTATGTTAAAATTCTATAAATGTCAATTAGGGTCAGATTGGTTGATGATATACTAAACTTTTCTATATCCTTATTGATGGTTTAGTTTTTGTTTTAATTTTTGGTGCTGGAGATTGAAACCAAGACCTCACACAGGTTAAGCCTGTGCTCTACCACTGAGCCACACCTCTGGTCTTATTTTTTGCTTCATGTATTTTGAAGCTATGTTATAGTTATAGTATATGTTATAGTATATTCTCATGTATATTATGCTTGCAACTAATGAATTGGCTCTCATGAAATGTCATTTTTCTATTTCTGTTATTATCCCTTGGGTTAATTAGTTTTTTTATCACTATGGTCAAAATATCTGACAGGGATAACTTAGAGGAGACATTTTTATTTTTGACTCAGGATTTCAGAGGCTTAGTCCATGATTGACCAAACCCATTGCTATGGGCCCAAGGTGAGTCAGAGCATCATAGCAGAGTGCACAGTGGAGGAGTACTATTCATGGCTGTCTAGAAAGTAGAGAAAGAAAGGGAAAGGGGTCACAAGGAAGTTGAATCTTTCCAGGGCATGCCCCACAGTGACCCATCTCCTCCAGCCATGCCCCATTTACCTACAGTCACCACCCAGTTATTACATTGAAACTAATATGGAGTCACTACTCTCATAATCCTATAATTTTACCTCAGATTGTCCTATATCAAAACTATAACATCCACTCCAGCTTTCCTGTGATGAGTTTATTTACATAGTATATTGTCATATCTAAATTTGTTTCTTGAAAGCAGTRTATTTGGGCTGGGGATGTGGCTCAGGCGGTAGCGCGCTCTCCTGGCATGCGTGCAGCCCGGGTTCGATCCTCAGCATCATATACAAAGATGTTGTGTCCGCTGATAACTAAAAAATAAATATTAAAAATTWWAAAAAAAGAAAGCAGTGTATTCCTAGGTATTATTATTTTTATGGTTTTTATTATTTTTATATATAATGGTTAAGTTTTGCTATTTGCAAGTCTCACCTTGCTATTTGTTTCCTAAAGTCTGTTCTCCTTTCCTACCTTCTTTGAGTTGATAGATCAATTATTATTTGTTTTTAATCTATTCTGCTGGTATTTTAGTTAAACTTCACTTTTTTGGTGATGACAATAATGATTACAATAATATGCATTCTTAACTTGTCTCTATTTACCTAAAATTTATATTATAGCACCTCTTCTACAATATAAGAAGCTCATAAGAGCATAATTATACTTATTTCATTCCAGTCCCTGTTCTRTTGTTGTTATATTTATGCATATATTATAAATTTCATAATACCTTGTAACGCTAAAGTATAGTTATGTATGTGTACAGCTGCTGGATTTGGCAGATTGGATCTGATAGACAGTAAAGACACTTTTTTTATATAAGATGGTATTTATTTGAGTAATTATATGGAAGCAAGAGCAAAAGCAAAAGTGATAGGTGAGAAAAAGAAGAAAGTACATCACTAGAAAGGAGGAAACACCAACACCTGAAGTTATATAGGAGTCCCGGACAGCTTTTCAGCCCCTGAATATTTGATATTAAAGAAATATCATTCTCTTTTTTGTTGTGATAATGGTGTGGTTATGCTTTTAAGAAACTTTATGCCAAGAGATGCTTGAAATTTTTTTTAAAAATTTATTTTTTCAAAGGAAATTACTCTAATGTATGAGCTAATGGCATGGATGATATAAGATAGGCATTGTGATAAAGCTTGGATATGTTTACAAAGGGGTTCWTTATACTCTACATTTCTGTTTCAGGTTTTTCATAATAATAAAGTTTAAAATGTTTAACTTTATACTAGAATTTAAAGGTAAAATGTAAACTTCCTGATAGCTTTTTCATATTTATTTGCCAGAATGGTAGCTGAGTGGCGGTTATCTCGAGGTGTTGAAGAACAGACACAAGCTTTCTTTGAGGGTTTTAATGAAATTCTTCCTCAGCAGTATTTGCAATACTTTGATGCAAAGGAATTAGAGGTAATGAATTTTTCTTCATTCCCTTGCAGCATGCTAGTAAATAATAACTTTAGGTGTCTACTTTAAATTCACTTTTCCATCTTTCCAGTGGCAGTAGTATTTTTTCTGCTGGTATGATGTTTTGAAACATCCTCAATGGTTAAAAAAATCAAAATTTATGGATATTAATTATGGATTTAGGTATTGGAAAGATAGTGGAATGAGATGGACCTCACCTACCATAAGTACATGTATGAACACACGAATGGGTGTGATTCTATTTTATGTACAACCAGAAACATGAAAAATTGTGCTCTATATGTGTTCTATGAATTGAAATGCATTCTGCTGTCATGTATACCAAATTAGAATAAATAAATGTAAAATTAAAAAAAGAAAAATCATAATTTATCCAAAAATGAAAGATCATTATTTTTTTAAAAAGTGTTACATTAATACTTCTTTACAATTGAGTAGATTATTCCTTGAATATATGTATGTATGGAACCATACGTGAAACTTGCTTTCCTAGGTCATAGATCCRATTCTTGACGTACAGTTTATACCTGCTATTAATGTTTTTATTAATATTATCTTATGTCAATCATTTTTTTATAAAGTCACCTAAAGAAACAATTTGTCTTTTTCATCCCTAAAGGTCCTTTTATGTGGAATGCAAGAGATTGATTTAAATGACTGGCAAAGACATGCAATCTACCGTCATTACACTAGGACAAGCAAACAAATCATGTGGTTTTGGCAGGTTTGTTTCTAAATTTGTTTCAGTTGGTAACCACAGCATGAAATTTCTTCAAATTTACCACAATGAGTAAAAGAACAAAATATACCAGTGTGTGCAGTCCCCTCAGTCCATCCTATGCATTATAATACCAGTTATAGTAAATAAGTATAGCTGAGCATGGGGGTGCACACCTATAATCCTAGGGATTGAGGCAGGAGGATTGCAAATTTGAGCCAACCTCTACAATTTACCAAGACCCTGCCTCAAAATAAATAATTCAGTGGTAAAGTGCCCTAGGATTAAATCTCCAGTAAAGGAAAAAAAAATCACAGATTATAGATATGAACAACTACCATATTCATACTGGGGTTTGAGGTTTGAACCCAGAGGTGCTCTATCACTGAGCCATGTCCCTGTTTTGAAACAGATTAAGTTTTCTAGGCTAACCCTGAACTTGCTGCAATCCTCCTGCCTCAGCCTCCTAAATCATTAGGATTATAGACATGTGTCCTCTAGCCTTTTATCACCATTCTTTTTAAGACTAAGTAACCAATATACATACCTTACACATTTGCCCAGATTATAAGACAGTTCCCGTAAATTAGATTCACATTTGATTTAAATGCTGTTTGGAATAGTATAAAATTGTCAGTATGGTTTTCATTATTCATACTTCATTAAGGTGTTCAGGTGGCAAAATTTAAGAGACCTGGTTTAAAATCATAATGGTGTCTTTCAAAAAGATGCCTGCTATAATAACATGAAAAGATGTTCAATGTCATTGGTCATTAAGAAAGTGGAGTCAAAACCACAATGAGATACCACTTCATACTCATTAGTTTTATCAAGGGTTGGGGGTAATTTATGAGGATCTGAGCAATTGAAACTTTCCTGTCTTGCTGATGAGAGTAATAATGCACCAATATGGAAAACAGTTTGGCACTTTATAAAAAAGTTAAACATAGAATTAATATATGATTCAGTAATTCCACTCCAAAAAGGAAAGACTCAGATACTGCCACATACATGTTCGTAACAATATTAAGATCACCAAAAGGTGAAATTAACCCATATGCCTGTCAATAGATGGATAAATAAAATGTGCTGTATATTTATAATGGACTATTATTAAACCCTATAAATCTAACACCCCCCCAAAAAAAAAAAATTGACCCATGCTAGAAATAGTATCCAAAAACCTAATGTTTTGAGTAAGAATTAAAGGAAGTAGCCAGGCACAGTGGTGCAAATTGTAATCCTAGCAGCTTGGGAGGCTGAGACAGGAGGATCATTAGTTCAAAGCTAGCCTCAGCAATTTAGTGAGGTCCTGTCTCAAAATAAAAAGGGCTGGGGATGTGGCTCAGTGGTTAAGCACCCCTGGTACAAAAAAAAAAAAAAAAAAAAAAAAGTTGTAGGCACATAATAGGTACGTGAACATTTAAAAAACATCAAGAAAAGGAAGTCATTGAATTCTATCTGGATCAGAATTCCGTGAGCTTGATTGGTTTATATTACCAAAAAAGTCCATATAGACTGAAGCTCCATGTCCTATATAACTACCTGAATGTCTGATAGGCTAGGCAGATCTAGGAGGGGGGAAGCAGGGACTTCCTAAAAGAGCTCATCTTCCAACTGCATGAGTAGGGAGCTCTTAGGCCCCGAGCATGCTTCTTTTTAGACGTGTTGTCCTGAGATTGATTTAGGGGAAGTTGGTAAGCTTCGACAAACATGAAAATGCCCCCTTTAGGGCTGGGGCTGTCGCTCAGCGGCAGAGCACTTGCCCAGCATGCGTGAGGCACTGGGTTTGATCCTCAGCACCATATAAAAATAAACAAATAAAATAAAGGCATTCTGTTCATCTACTACTATAAAAATAAATAAGGAAGGAAGGAGGGAGGGAAGGAGGGAAGGAGGGAGAGAGAAAAGAAAAGAAAATGCTCCCTTTATCCACAGTGTTAGATATAAAGTCACTGTCTACTACTGCAAGTGACACCAAGGGTTCATTTAAGATTTGTGYGGGGGTTTATTCGTTTGTTTTGGTTTTGTACTGGGGATTGAACCCAGGGGCACTTAACCCCTGCGCCATATCCCCAGCCCTTTTTATTTTGAGACRGGGTCTTGCTAAGTTGCTGAGGCTGGCCTTCAACTCATGATCCTCCTCCCTCAGCCTCCCATGTCACTAGGATTATAGGCATGTAGCACCATACCCATCTCATTTAAGATTTGAAATGATTTTTCTTTCATGTGCAGTGAGCCAAATATAACATGTCCTATATATCTCTTTAAATATAATCTTAACAGTTTGTTAAGGAAATTGATAATGAGAAGAGAATGAGACTTCTGCAATTTGTCACTGGAACTTGCCGATTACCAGTAGGAGGATTTGCTGACCTCATGGGTATGTATACCAGGTACTTCTCTCCTACACAGAAAATCATTATCACACTGCTGTTAGGTAAGTGTCTATGTAAGGTATCAAAAATAAAAAGACAAGTATAACCATTTTTTTCAACTAGCCACAATTTAACCTGTATTGTGTAAACTTCTAAATCATTTTGTAGTCTTTACTTAGGATAYCCGTCCTCTGTATGTGAACTTTGTTCAGTCAGTCATTTGRCAAATATCTTAGTTTTTCTGAAATGAGAAATATTACTGGTCATATAATACTGTTTAATGAGGTGAGGAGATCATTGTACTATAGTGGGCTATTACTTCCCTAATSCCTTCCCAATAGTTTCCCATTTTGTTTGAAACCACTTTTCTAATAGACTGGGAGTTGTTTGAGATATAGGTCATATTTTAATTATTTTGTGGTTATTTAAGTGAATGTGAGCATTATGCTAAGTACCCCAGAAGGCTGCACATGTAAGTGATCTCTAAGATTGCTTCAGCTTAGTCAGAATTAGCAAACTAAGCAGGTGATTTTAAAGTGTGAAATCAGTTTAACAAAGATGTTTTAATCATACCAAAAGAATTTGATATTACCTGGAAGATACTGGAAGCTATGGAAGCATTTTGAAAAAAGGAAAACTTGTAGAGGCTGCATTTTAGGATGATTTGATAATAAGATAAATAGCATATTAAAAGATGGGGCTGGATACTGTGGCACATGCCTGTAATCCCAATTACTTGGGATGCTGAGGCAGAAGAACCATAAATTCTAAGTCAGCCTCAGCAAGTTAGTGAGTTCCTGTCTCAAAATAAAAAAGGACTGTGTGTGTGGATCAGTGGCAGAGCAACCCTAGATTAAATCCTAGTAAAGATTTAATTCAAAGATGGGGAGACCCTGAAGGATATGAGGAACTTATTGCAGCAATAATGGGAACCTGATCTTAGGAGATTGAAGTGGAAATACAAGGGAAAGAATAAATGCTAGAGAAGTTTCAAAAGTAGAAACAGAGCTAGATTTTAAGGTATAAAAAGAATAATGTAGAGAAATGGAGAAGCTGTGAAGTGTAAAGAACATAGTTAGAGATGTAGAAGAATGATGAGTGGTTTAGAATCTGCTGAGTTTAAGGTGACTACTGCCAGATAACTGAGTAGAAAATTCCAGAGAGCATTTTTTTCAGGTAATAATAATGTATGAGTTAGAGGTAAGAGAAGAGGGAAAGTTAAAACAATACAACAGTGACATTTTGATCTGAGAGAATAAATAGCCTTATACAAAAATAGAATATAGAGGCTGAAGTTGTGGCTCAGCGGTAGAGCGCTCATCTAGCATGTGCAAGGTGYTGGKTTCGATCCTCAGCACCACATAAAATAAAGGTATTGTGTCCAACTATAAATAAAAATATATATATGTATTTTAAATTTTTTTTAGTTGTAAGTGGACACAATACCTTTATTTTGTTTGTTTATTTTTATGTGGTGCCAAGGATGAAACCCAATGCCTCATACTTTTGAGGCAAGCGCTCTACCACTGAGCCAAACCCTAGCCCCCAAAATATATTTATATATTTTAAATAGAATATAGAAAATAATAGAGTGCTGTTGCTTAAAAACATCTGTATGTAAGGATGAGATAGAAATAGCCTGGAGGCCAGAGTTGCTAGTGGCACATGCCTGTAATCTCAGTGGCTCGGGAGGCTGAGGCAGGAGAATCTTGAGTTCAAAGCCAGTCTCAGCAATGGCGAGGTGCTAAACAACTCAGTGAGACCCTGTCTCTAAATAAAATACAAAACATGGCATGTTTCTGCATCTGCTTTTTGGGGTGGGGGGAGGGTACTCAGGGTCTCACTGAGTTGTTTAGCGCCTCACTTTTTGCTGAGGCTGGCTTTAAACTTGCAATCCTCCTGTCTCAGCCTCCCGAGCCTCTGGGATTACAGGAGTATGTCACCACTCTTGGGTTACCTGTACTTTTTCATAGTGGCCTTTCACATAACTACTTGTGAAAACAACTCATTGTTATTAAATATAAAGGTACTACAAAAGTATATCTATACTAGATTTAGTCAGTGAGACATGAGAAAATTCTTGTGCATGACTATCCCACACATTTCATAATATTTAATGTGCCTGGCTACTTCTAATTWAAAAAGTTAAGTGGTTCTACCATTTTTATCACTAGTAAATGCTTCTTCCAAGGGAGCAATAGTGACCTTTGTTAAGGCAGTATTTTATAATCACTAGTCATAGCTATTTCTAGCAGAAGGTAGATGACAGGCAAGAATTAATATGTTTGGGGCTAGAGATGTGGCTCATTAGTAGAGTGCTTGCCTAGCAAGCAGGAGGTCCTAGATTCAATCCCCAGCACCACACAGGGAAAAAAAAAAAAAAAAGAAAATGAGTTGGTATGTCTGCATGTTTAAGGGTACAGGTGCAGGACCTATGCTCAGCATAAGCACTGTTGACACTGAATTTGCCTAAGATGTGTACATTTCATAAAGTTTTAATGATTCTGAATTTAAATCAAGTTTTCTTGTAYTAGAAAGTAGGTTGTAGTTTCCTTATTGTAGTTAAAGCTCCTAAAATTAAGCTTCTTATACATAACATTGTTATTCTGGTTAAGGAATACTCAATAAGACTGCATTTTCTCTTTGACATACATTAGCAAAATCATTCTCAAACTTCAGCACTCACTAGAATTACTGGAAGTGATTAAAACACATACTACAGAGCCCCACCCCTAGAGTTTCTGATTCAGTAGTTTAGGGGTAGGGCCTGTGGATTTGTGATTCCAACCTGGTAATTCTGTTGCTATTGGATTGGGACACACAATTAAGAACTTCTGAAAAACTATTTATGATTTTATTGTTTTAGGAAGCAATGGACCACAGAAATTCTGCATTGAGAAAGTTGGGAAAGAAAATTGGTTACCCAGAAGTCATACCTGGTAAGCAAAATCAGAAAGAATAGAAAAACAAGCCTTTTTTTTCCAGTTATCCTATAGCTATTTAGAACCTAACCGGTTCTAAAATGGCACACACCTGTAGTCCCAACTATCTGGGAGGACGGAGGAGAAAGATTCCAAGTTCAAAGCCAGCCTAGGCAATTTAATGATACTATGTCTCGAGATAAAATAAAAAAGGGCTGCGTGTGGTGGTGYAGGCCTATAATCCCAGCAGCTCAGGAGGCTGAGGCGGGAAGATCGTAGGTTCAAAGCCAGTCTCAGCAATTTAATGAGGTCCTAAGCAACTTAGTGAGACCCTGTCTCTAAATAAAATATAAAAAAGGCTGGGGATGTGGCTCAGTGGTTAAATACCCCTGAGTTCAATCCCCCATACCAAAAAGAAAAAGATAAAAAGGACTGGTTATGTAGCTCAGTGGTAGAGCACTCCTGGGTTCGATCCCCATCACTACCAGAAAGAAAGAAAGAGACAGACCTGTTAAAAATGAAACAGAAGAACTTTCCCCATGGTATTAAATTATTTAACAGCTTTACTGAGGCATAATTATGTACCGTAAAATTAACCATTCTAGTTTTAGAGCATTTCATTCACCTCAGAATGATCTGTTATCATATTTACCATCAATCCCTTTTCCCGCCTCCAATTTTTTTAAATTTTTTTTTTTTTAGAGAGAGAGAGAGAGATTTTTTTTTTAATATTTATTTTTAGTTTTCGGCAGACACAACATCTTTATTTGTATGTGGTGCTGAGGATCGAATCTAGGCCGCATGCATGCCAGGCGAGCGTGCTACCGCTTGAGCCACATCCCCAGCCCCTCCAATTTTTTTTAATTTGGTTTTTAGTATACTTTTAATTTCTCTGAAGACAGGAAAATATATTTGAACTTGAAGTACTATTTTGTGGGACATTATATCTAGTAGACATATATATAGACCTTGATGGATATTTTTTAAGAAAGGGTCTTGGTAAATTGCTGAGGCTGTCCTCAAATTTAAGATCCCCCTGCCTCAGCCTCCAAATCACTGAGATTACTGGTGTACACTACCATGCCCAGTACCTTTTTGATATTTTATTATCTGTTCCTTTATGTTTTAATACACATATATGCGAGCAGTAGTTTTTAATTTTTTGTAGTACTGGGGATTGAACCTGTGCCTCATATATGTTAGACAAGCACTCAACTACTGACCTATACCCCCCAGCCCTCATATATGTTAGACAAGCACTCAACTACTGACCTATACCCCCCAGCCCAAGTGTTTTTTTAAATGAAAACTTTATTGATACATAATTCACATATCATAAAATTTGCTCTCTTAAATAAGTGTGTAGGTCAGTGGTTTTTCAGTCTTTTCAGAAGGTTGTGTAATCAACACCACTATCTAATTGCAGAACATTTTTTTGATGCCACAAAGAAACCCTATACCCATCAGTAGACACTCCCTATTTGCCCCTCATGCAACCCTTGGTAACCACTATTCTACTTTTTCTGTCTTTGTGGTTTTCCTACTCTGAAATTTTATATAAATGGAATCATAATATGTAGCCTTCTGTTTCTGGCTTCTTTTTTTAATATTTATTTTTTTAGTTTTAGGTGGACACAATGTATTTTTTATTTTTATATGGTGTTGAGGATTGAACCCAGCGCCCCGCGMATGCTGCAAGTGCGCCACCAGTTGAGCCACATCCCCAGCCCCTGTTTCTGGCTTCTTTCATTAGCATAATGTTTTCAAGATTTATCCATGTTGTGGTATGGGTTAGTATTTCATTTCTTTTTATTAGCTAGTTATTTTTTTATTGTAAAACATTAACATAAAATTATTTATCACTTTTTTAAAAAATATTTTTTTAGTTTTTTCGGTGTACACAACATCTTATTTTACATTTATGTGGTGCCTCATGCATGCTAGGCGAGCACTCTACCACTGAGCCACAACCCCAGCCCTATTTATCACTTTTAACCATTTTTCAGTATAAACAGTTCTCTGGCATTAAGTACATTCTTACAGTTGTGCAGGTGTCACCACCAATGATGATAGCACTTACTGAACGGTAACTACTCCCTCCCCAGTTCCTAGCAACCATCATTCTACTTTCTGTTTCTAGGATTTTTGACTAATTTAAGTACTTTATAAGTGTGGAATCATACTTATGTTCTTTTGTGACTGGCTTGTTTCACTTAAAATAATGCCTATAAGGTTCATCCATGTTGTAGCGTGTGTCAGAATTTTCTTTTGTTTATTTAGCAGTGCTGGGGATCAAACCCAGAGTCTTGCACATACTAGGGCAAGTGCTGCACTGCTGAGCTACATCCCTAATCTATCTATCTATCTATATAGTACCAGGTATTGAACCAGGGATGCTTAATCACTGAATCACTTCCCCGCCCTTTTTGGGGGGGTGGGTACCAGAGATTGAACTCAGGGGCACCCAACCACTGARCCACATGTCCAGCTTATTTGTATTTTATTTAGAGACAGGGTCTTACTGAATTGACTAGTGTCTCACTTTTGCCTTTGAACTCACAAGGCTGGCTTTGAACTCATGATCCTCCTATCTCTGCCACCCAAGCCACTGGGATTATAGGCATGTACCACCGTGCCCTGCATTCCCAGCCYTTTTTGTTTTTTTTATTTTGAGACGGTCTTGCTAAGTTGCTGAGGCTGGCTTTGAACTCTTGATCCTCCAGCCTCAGCCTCCCAGATATATAAAATATATAATTATATATATATATAAAATATATTATATATAATATATTTTTATAACTTTTATTTATTATATTTATTTTTATTTTTTATATTTWTATTTATATAAATATAAAAATATAAATATTTTATTTATTATATTTATTTTTTATTATATTTATATTTATTTTGCTGAGGATCAAACCCAGTGCCTCACCCATGCTAGGAAAGCACTCTACCAGTGAGCCCCAGCCCCCCAGCTATATTTTTAATTGGCACATAATATTTGTACACATTTATGTGACATTTCAATATATGTGTATAATCTGTAATGAACAAGTCAGGGTAATTGGCAAATATATCACCTCATTTATCATTTCWTTGTGTTGGAACATTCAAAATCCTTTCTGCTAGCTGTTTTGAAATAGTCAATCGCTTGTTATCAATCATAGTTATCCTGCTGTGCTATAGAACATTAGAAGTTATTCTTACCCAAATTCTTTTAACCACCCTTTCCCCATTCCTTCCTTCCTTGCCCACACCCTTCCACAAGGCTCTCGAAGTCTCTATTTCTTTGAAATCAGCTTTTTAGCTTCCACATATAAGAACATGAAGTATTTGTCTTTCTGAGTCTTTATTTTACTTAATGTAATGTCCTCTAGTTCCATCCATGTTGCTGCAAATGACAGGATTTTATTTTTTATTTTTATGTGGTGTTGAGGATCAAACCCAGCGCCCCCCGCACATGCCAGGCGAGCGTGCTACCACTTGAGCCACATCCCCAGCCCTAGAATTTTATTCTTTTTATGGCTGAATAATATTCCATTATGTACCTATACTGCATTTTATGCATTCATCTATGGATAGACACCTAGGTTGATTCCATGCAGCCTATTGTGAATAGTGCTGCAATAAACAGGCAAGTATAGATGTCTCTAATATACTGATTTCAATTCCTTTGGATATGTGTCCAATAGTGGGATTTCTGGGTCATATGGTAGTTACATTTCTAGTTTTTTACATTCCCACCCACAGTATATGAAAATTTCCCTTTCTCCACATCCTTGCCAGCATTTGTGTTGTTGTTGTTACAGTACTGGGCTTGAACCCAGAGGTACTCTACCACTGAACTTCATCCCCAGTCCTTTGTATATTTATTTTGAAAAAGGTTCTTGCTGAGGTACATAGGCTGGCCTTGAACTTTCAATCCTCTGGCCTTAGCCTTCCATGTATTTGGGAATTACTACACACTCCCATAGGTGTGCTAAGGATCAAACTCAGGGTCTCATATATGGTACATGAGCACTGTACCACTGAGCCACAATCCCAGCCCTATACATAACATTTTTATTCTTTTCTCAAACTAACGATTTTACCGTTTTTTAGTTTTAACCGCCTGGACCTTCCACCCTACAAAAGCTACGAGCAACTAAAGGAAAAACTGTTGTTTGCCATTGAAGAAACAGAAGGATTTGGACAAGAATAGCTTCTGAGACCTTGTACCACTGAAGGACAAGAACTTACTTGCAGTGTTTGTCCATTTCCTGCCTGTTGCACATCTTGTTGTAAAATTGGACTATGACTGTTTAGAAAGTTATCTGAGTGTAAGTAAATTAATGTTATCATTGAGATTTATCTCCCAGTGATTCTGGATTTCTATTCAACATTTCCAGAGATCAGAGATCAGATCTATAAATGATTAGTCACAACCTTACTTAACATGAGATTTAACACAGCAATGAAATCTGCCTTGTCTTACTCCACTAGATTGTTTCCTTAACAGTTTTGTGTGTATGTCAAAAGTCTCAYTTGGGAGTAGGTTTTTTACTTTTAGAGAGATTCTGCAAATATGCAGGGAAGTCTCATGGTAACTGCAATATACAAGATCTTCCTATTAAGCCTCTTGCTGAAAGGTATTTAATAAAAGTGCAAGCTTAGCCCAGTTTCTGGGCACATGAGCAGACTTCTAGCTTGTGCTCTCCCTCCCATTGCAGCCTGGCCTGACTGTTCTTCCTCTCTGGAGCATGAATACATGCATTATATTTTGATGTTATTCATGGAAGTAATATAAGAGTCTGGCATCTCTCTACAAAGCAGTTGTGTCTTTTGAATTCAGGGAAAAGTTGGTTCCAGATGGCAAATGACTTCATACCTCTCTTCAATTGGAAGTTTGATTGTTTTAATTGCCTTGCAAATACTAAACAAAGAATATTATATTAACACTGTGGTTCCTTCACTTTTATTTTTTTTAAATAATCTGAAATTGGAATTAATTTAGCTGAATTCATCAAAGGCCATTGTTGATGATTTTTGTATGATTATATATAATTTGAGGCTTTATAGTTTTTCAACAGTTTCAATTGTATTTAATTATTGCTAAGGAGTTCAAGTTGTAACTAGAGTATTGCTAGTTCAAATACAGGTTAATGAAACAGCCTCTGAAATTATATTTTTATGTGGAAGGGAGAACTATAATACTGGCTTAAAAAGAAGGGAAGATAACATCTAGTAACCACATAAATGTATTCTCTGTATGAATTAAAAATCTTCAAAATTATCATTTCTCTGACACATTCTGGAGTAGTCATTTCCATTCTTTATATTATCCTGAATTGAATTGAAGTTTCTCATCTACAATGTTCTTTTCACCCCTAAAAATTTTGGCAGATTTTCTTTTTTCCCCATGACTAGTTTATTTTAGACTGCTCCGTTAGTAACTAACTGATGCACTTTCACCTTTTCTATAGTTATTTAATTAAACTTGGCTTAGCTTAGAGTGTCAGGATGGCTGTCATCATAGATTTGATTTTATGGACAGTGAGATGAAGCCTAAGCCAGCTGAGTCCCTATCATAGCTGAACCCTGAGGACAGCCTTATAACTCCTGTAACAAGGACTTTGGCATGTTTAAGTATCATAGCATGAACAAGTAGCATTAAGCCAAGAATACACAGAGAGTAGCAGACCCTAGAAAGAAAATGTTTTTATGTTCCAAACTGCTCTTCCTGTTTAAATCCTGGAAGAACAAAAACATTTTTAACTTGTATTTCTGTACTCTTTGACACTGCCATCATAAAGGGTTGCCTCATCCAGAAACTGTCAGTGTAAAGGGAGAGTTTAGGCTCTCCCCAACCCTATCTTTTTTTTAACTCCACATACCCTAGGAAATACAATGTGATCTCTAAAAGCCTATTGTTTCCAAAGTAGGGTCTCTCTGCCTTTTTGTTGGTAGGGTAAAAAAACCCTTTTTGTTGGTTGCTTTGTCTTACAGAGCGAATGTCTGCCAACTACCCATTCATTATATAAGCCTGAACTTTGTTAATATATGGCCATGAAGATTAAGCCTTCTATAAAGACTTCCTATTGAGGTGAATTCTCATTCTGAAATGTAGTTACCTACAATATTTACTAGAGATTTACGAGATTAAATTAAGAGATGTAAGAAAATAGGCTTTTTGGTTCTACATAATGCTTCATAATTCATTTAGGAACCTAGAAATATTGTGTGAAATGTATAAATATCACCCAAAAGGCTTTCTACCCTATATTTTTAAAATACAGAATAGGTATATTTGATATAGCCCTGGCCCTAGTTCTATAGGGCTTGGCTATTTAATATTTTTATGGAAGAAACGTTTAGTTCTGGAAAAGGTAAATGCTTGTATATATTTTTGCAGCCTGGGATCTCCCTACTCCATTTCTTCCTTTAATTTAAATGGCCACATGTATATGTCTTCCCTGCTGTGTTAGGAAAATGGGGGCTGGATATCCCAAGAATCAGAGGTTATATAAAAAAAAAATACTACAAATAGACAGCAGACATAARTATCTACMAAATGCTATCTTAAATTTTGGTCCAAACTGAACATTTGGAAATAGATTTATTGTAAGTGTTTAGAGCTTTTTCTTAAGTCTGAACTAAATTGTTTTTAAAGTCCTTTTTCTTTGTAAAGCATTGTAAATGCTAATAAATCCTGTTAATTCTTTTTTTTTTTCTTTTTATTTTAACTGCATGTTACATTGAAATAAAAACAAAGTAAAATGAACCACTGCCTTATTCTTCTGCTCTTTTGGTGGGTTGGGAAAGGCAGCATTTTCTAACCTAAGTTAAGAGGGAAGGACCTTATTTTGTTTTATCAGATGGAATGATTTTAAACTCATCAGCAGCTCATAATAATAAATTCACTCTCTGTCTCTTATGATCTTTTATCTGAGTGCAGAAGAATCCAATTTCATAAGACTTACAATAACTCTATTTAAAATGCAGATACTGGTTTTTCATCAAGGTATTGAACATAACAATGTCAATTAATCATTGTCCACAAAGGTCTCATCCCAAATGATCTATTTCAATCAAGCCCTTCCTGCCACTTTTTACTTATCTGAAATACTGTCTTGGTGATCATGTAATTAGGCTTTGCCTCTATTTTTATACCCCTCCTTGTTTTGATATGACTCCATTCTTAACTCCTGTAGGGCTGACTACTTCTACTTAGTATTGTTGGTATCTCCAGCCCCCCTTATATTTATGTTTTTATTAATTAAAAATGAATGGCAGCATTGGATTGTATATTACTGTATTGGAGTACCTTTGTTTTCTTGGACTGTAATTTCACATACTCAGGTAACTCTACAAATATAACAGGGAGCCAAGTGCTTTTATAAAGTTCCTTCAAGGGGTTGCCTCACTTGAATTTCTTAAAAGATGTAAGACTGTTTATAATTAAAACWTTTTTGGTCCTTCATTTGCTCACTTCTCTGTTAGTCTTCGGTAAAAAGGTTTTCCCCACCTGCAGAAAAGTGTTTTGTGTGACCGGGTCATGTAGACTTTTGCCTTTCTGCAAAGTTACAACCTGTCTATACGATGAGGTGGGAAGAAAAAGATCTCTTACTCAGGTGAGACTGGATTTGGTACTTGCATTGACCAAAACATTTGCAGGGGCCACTGACATAAATGTGGCCCCTCCATCTGAAATACTTTTCTGAGACAACAAAAAATGCTATAAAACAGGACCCCAGTGTGAGTGCTGAGACCCACCAGTTAGCTCCCTGCAGCTACCCACAGGCTGGCCTGCTTACCAGTGTCAGTAGACATATTAGGAAACTAAGGTCATCAGGCTCTCCTTTAAAATGGAACCAGTGGAACCAGGTGCCATGGTACATGCCTGTAATCCCAGGGGCTCCGGACGCTGAGGCAGGAGGATCGCRAGTTCAAAGCCAGCCTCAGGAACTCAGCGAGGTACTCTGCAACTCAGCGAGACCCTGTTTCTAAATAAAACATAAGAAAAGGTATGGGGATATAGCTCAGTGGTTAAGCATTCTGGGTTCAATCCTCAGCACACACACACACACACACACACAAAAAAAAAAAAATTTTAAAGGAACCAGTGGAGACTCCAGGAAGTAGAATTTTTAACATACTGGTCTAACAGCTACTGTAGGACAAAGTGCAAGCCCCTTCCAGGTCCCGAGTAATGAACCCTATCTGTCCTACAAAAGCAGCTAGAAAGCTCTGGCTTCAGTGTGGCTAAGAACATTGGCCTGAATTCTACAAAGCCCCAAACTGGGACTCAGCTATGATTGGCTGTTATTCTCAGGACTTTTGAGTGTCACCTTGTGTAACTCTAGCGCAGAAGTTGCTGTYACTCTCATTTCATTTTCTGTGTCTCTAGGGCTCCTTTGTGATCAAAACATTTGGGAAGAAGAGCCAGGGTAATATTCTTGGTTGACAGGGAAAGGTAGGAGTCAGCATAGACCCCAGAAGGAGAATGTTGATCCCTTGTGAGTAGGCTCAAAGAAAAGAGGATCTCCTCAAAGCACCCTAGCAAGGGGAAGAAGTGTGGCAGTGACTAGATCCCAAAACATCCTGGAAGATACTTTACAGGAGGGACCTTCACTGCCATCTTACATTTGGAGAACTAGACCAAGGAGTGAAAGGATTGAAAAAGATCAGGAACCCCCCCCCCACCAAAAAAAAAAAAAAAAAACCAGAATGGTGAGTAGTGTGAGTGGAGCCAAAACGGGTCAAGAAGGAGATGGTGGTAGGGCCAAGAATGTCATTTCTCAAGGAAATGACCTTGAGAATTTGTAGTCATACCTGCAGGTCAATGAAAATAGTCATACTGTTATTTTTCCTCATTTCTTTCTTTATTTGGAAGGGTATACTGGGAGATTTGAAGACAGGGACACTTTACCACCCAGCTGTATCACCCATCTCCACTGCCCCTCTCCCCTCCAGAGTCTCACTAAGCTGCCAAGTATCTAAGTTGCTGAGGCTGACATCAAACTTGCACTACTCTTGCTTCAACCCCCTAAGTCACTGATATTTTTCTGTTTCTAACTCAGACTTAACTCTATTCACTTTCTCTAGTGTAGTAACCAGTACCATATCCATATTCATTTCATCAAAGTGTCATTCAAAGCAACTACCAACATTTATCAGAAAGTGTCAGGCACTGATAGATATGCCAAATGAACTGTTTTTAGTTTCCATGGCCACTCTGAGAGAGGAATGACTGCCTCTGTTTACAGATAAAGAAAATAGGCTCAAAATGATTGAATACATCTACAGCTATTAAGTGGAAAGAGTACAAGTTGGATCCAAAACTGTTTTGTCTCTAAAACCCTTCTACTGCATTGCTATACACAAACCACAGCCCTGGGAGTCTTCCATAAACAATTCAGTCATCCCATCTAATTGGACTCCCAAGTCCTATCAAATCTTATCTCCAAAACTTTGAATTCGTTTCCTCAGACCTGCCCTCATCCTTATCCCTAATCTGGTTGACATTGCCAACATCCTTGTTTTCATTCTCCCCTCTCCAGTCCATCTTGTGCTTCCTCTAAACGATCTGAGAAAAGTATTTCATGCCTCTCTGCCACTTAACATCTTACAATGGTTCCTCCATTACCATAGAAGAAACTCCAAAACTTAAAAGCTTGCCACTCAATGCCATTCTTGGCCCTACCACCATCTCCTTATTTTTTTTTTAATATATATATTAGTTGTAGTTGGACACAGTAGCTTTGTTTATTTTTATTTGGTGCTGAGGATTGAACCCAGGGCCTCTCACTCGCTAGGTGAGGGCTCTAATGCTGAGTCACAAGACTAGCCTCCCACCATCTATCCTTTTTGACCCCTATTTTGGCTCTACTCACACTACTGACCATTCTAGTTTTTGCTTCTGGGTTCGTGATCTTTTTCAATCTTTTCACTCCTTGGTCTAGTTCTCCACATGTAAGATGGCAGTGATGATCCCTCCTGTAACTGTCTTCCAGGATGTTTTGGGATCTAGTCACTGCCACACTTCTTCCCCTTGCTAAATGTCCTAGTGTTTCCAGCATTTGATAATCATTCCTTTGTATCCATATTTAAAAAAACAAAACTTTATTTTGAAATAACTTTAGATATTCAGAATTGTTGCAAAGAGCACAGAGCTCCTGCACACCCTTCACTCAGCTTTCTCCATTGTTAACATTCCACACATCTCTGGTACAGTTGTCAAAAAGCTAATAAACATTAGTAAATAACACTACAACCCTCATTCAAATTTCATCAATATTTCCACCGATGTTCTTCTTTTGCCTTAGTTTCCTCCAATCTATGGCAGTCCCTCATTCATTCCTTGTCTTTCATGACCTTGAGATTTTTTGAACAGTATTAGATATGGAAAATGACAAACCCCAAAATAGTGAGGCCTGGTAAAAGGGAGTGAAGAAGAAAGCCATACACTGATAGCATTGATCCTTTCTCAATACATTCCTTCCCAGTGACAAGACAATTCCTTCCTGGGGAGGAAATATCCATCCAAGCCTAGACTGGCAGTCTCTAGGAAGAAGCCAAAGTATTGACCCTTCCCCAATTAAGTCCTTTCTCATTGGCAGTACAATGAGACCCCTGAGGGAAAGAGAGAAACACTGAGCACTAATGCCACACCCTCCATCTGGTCCACAGACTGCTGACCTCAGACTCTCCATCTGCCCACTTACTACTGACCCCAGACTCTCCATTAGACACCCTCTGGCAATAATTAGGTTACCTCTCAGTATAACCTATGTAAGCATAAACTTACCCTGTGGCCAAGAGCTCATTTTCCACCAGGAAAGTGGGTCCAGAGCCCTCACCTGGCGCCTGTATGAAACTTCCATGGAAMTTCCCTTACTGAATAAACAGCTGATCCATGAAGTTTGCCCCCGCCCAGTCTTTTTGTGCTAACAAAAGAGTTACTGGTCAGTTGCCTTGCAGAATATCCCTTAAACTGGGTGTAATTTTCTCATGATTAAGGATGTGGACTTCTGTGAAAATTACTACTGAGGCTATGTGCCCTTTGTGCACATCGGGTGCACACAACATCAGTATGTTCCATTACCAGAAATAACTAACCTTAATCTGGTTAAGGTGGTGTCTTCTAGGTTTCCTATCTGGAAAGTTATTATGCAGCCCTCTTTCTGAGACGCAGACACCCCTGGAAGGAGCACTAAATCCTTCCCCATTAGAAAGGATATTGTAGAATGAAAATCTGGAGGTGGATTCTCGACAGAATTCAGCAAATTCCAATGCCAGGAAGAAAAAATTTGTAAAGTGGAAATGCCAGTAATCACCATGCTGAGGCTTCTGGAGATAATGAGTACAGTAAGGTAGCACCAGTTTCACTAAACCGCAGCATGTTTTAACGAAAGTTATTTCCTGATAGAAGGCCCAGAAATTTTTGTGGTCTGTCGGAGTAAAAGGTTTAAATAGAGCAGAAAAAGGAAAGATATAGAGCTCTGGGAAGAAAGGTCCTCTTTTAGTGTTTTTAATGGTGAGAAAATGTTATAGCACAGACATGTAAAGTGCCTTCTCCAAAGGTAACACAGAAGTGCGGATGAGTTTGGATTGTGGACTCCCGGGCCAGCTCATCTCAGAGCTTGCAGGAGTATTCCCAAAGARGTCGCGCTGCAGACTCCAGAGAGAMCCCGACTTCAGACCCAACATTAGTTTCCSGTATCTTCAGCTTATTCTGGCTCCGCGCCTGTCTTTGCCTCCATCTGGGCGCATACTCTCCCATCACCCCTCCACCCAGCCTCTTCCAACACCTAGAACCGATATCTTTTGGTACAGATGGAGTTGGGAATTTTCTACAGCTTACGTGCTCCTTTGCTTTTTGCTATCTTAGGCAAACGCCACTCAGCTACATCCTCATCCTACCTTGACACTTACAGACACCGGAGAGTCAAACATCCCARGGCCCTGGGTGGGGAAACACCTCAGCTCGTCTGCCCGCCCCAATACCCCCGCTGATTCCTGATAGGCTGCCTCAGCTGTCCGTTACCACAGGGAACTATGCGCAGGCGCAGAAAGACACGGACTTGAGCTGAGTGTTCGCGACGCAGAGCTAAGGATCAGTCCGAGATGGTGAGTTTTCACCGGTGCTTTTGGCTAGCAGTTGCACCCCTCCCTGGCCATGCGGTCCATCTGCCACCGGGGTCTCAGAGCGCCAGGAGAGGAGTCCGCCGGCCCGGGCGGGGCCGGAATCGGACCCAAGCTGACTGGAGGGCGGAACCCGAATGGCGCGGGCCTTTGGGGCTGGGCCGAGGCGTGGCCACCGGATGCCGTGCTCTCTACCGGAAACAGCTGGGGCCTTAATGAAGACCAGGCAGTGGGAGGCTGGGACTCTGAGGCCTGCTGCCTAGCACCTGGGCCTTGTCGCGCGACTCTAGCCTTAAGGGTAGCATTTTCCCCGAAGCTAGTAGGTGGCAAGCACTGCTAAGTGAGCGCGTCATGTGTGTTGTTTTTCCTCCCCGCAGCTCTGTGCGGTGAGCTGTGAGGAAGTGTGCGACCATCACCCACCCACACATTTAAAATCTAAATCTTCGGAATGCCAAGCTTTGACCTAGGAAGTGGCCGTGGACTTGAGCCCTAAGAAGCGTGACTGCCGCCTCTTGCTGTGGCTCCGTCCAAACACTCAGACTGGGGTGCCTGAGTCAGGAACCGGCAGGGTCTGGCCTTGGGGATCCCCAGGCCCCTCTGCCTTGTTGGCTGCGACCTTGGGCTCTTTACACCTTTTCAGGGTTGTGTATTGTTAGTCCCTATCGCTTATACAAAACTCGAAAAGGACTTTTAAACGTTAAACCATGTGAATGTAACTTTTTCAATCATCTTTTTTAGATATGTAAAGCTTATAAGAAAAATTGAAAAGGAAAATGAAACAAGGTGTCATTAGAGGTGACCACTAAGTGAATTACTTCTAGGCTTTTTCGCTTCGGTTTCTATTTTATATAGTTTAGCGCCGACTGAATATACAAATTGTGAGTTCTGCATTTCTCATTATTATACCACAAAGAATGTCCCCACATCATTAAAAACATGAAATAATGCTTCAAATATATGTAATTTCATCTTCGTATCACTTTTTTTTTTTTTTTTTCTTTTAAGACAGGGTCTTTCCTTGTTGCCCAGACTCGTCTGGAAGTCCAGACTCAAAACAGTCCTCCCACCTTAGCTTCCCCTGTGATGGGACTGCCTTTTAGCTCTTCTTTTGACCTGCTATGTGTTCTTGGGTAAAACCCTTCTTTTCTCTGAACCTCAATTTCCTTAACTGTAAAATGAAGATCATAATAATTATGGAAGATGAATGAGATGTTCAGATGGAAGCATATGTCTGAAAGCAGTGGATGACCCCTAGTGGGTACTGAGTACATAAATGTATGCCTGTGTGTCCTGTTCCTGGTAAGTGTGGTTTTTTTTTTTTTTTTTTTTTTTTTGAACAACCAAATCTCAGTAGCTGGTTCTTATTAAACAGAATCACCTACCTGGGCACCATGGCACATGCCTGTAACCCCAGTTACTTGTCGGGCAGGAGGATCACAAGTTGGAGGATACCCTGGGCAACTTAGCAACACCCTGTCTCAAAGTTAAAAAGGACTGGGGATTTAGCTCAGTGGTAGAGTGCTTGTGTGTCTTGCACAAGACCCTGAGTTCAATCCCCAGCACTTGGGGCAGAAATTAAGGTCACCCAAACTTTTGCTTTTTGTTACACTGGGTCCTATAAGGTAGCATCCTCCCTCCTATACTTAAAAGGGTTGATTTTGAAACATAGTTGAAAAAATGCTTTTTATTTGTTCTTAAGTATTCACTGAGCCTGTCTTGTGTCTGGTATTGGGGCTATAAAAGGTACTGGATCCCTGCTCCAAGGGTACTTTGGGTCTACAGTAGAAGATGGATATAAAATGTCAATTATACTGTGCTCTAGTAAGTACCATGAAGGCTGGATGCTACAGGTGTCCAGAGTAGGGCTGGTATTAAAGGCCTTTCCTAGGAGGCCCATGAGGTGACTTTGAAAGGTTGGGAGTTGGTTATGTTAAGGAGTAAGGACAAGAGGAAAAAGTTCCTTTCCTTCAGATAGAGGGAGTACTGTATACTTCAGATAGAGAGAGCACATATACCAAGCCTGAGTGCTGGAAGCCCAGACTCCTGGCAGGCTGTGTGTGCCCCCTGCAGTCCATTCTCCACACAGCAGCCAAAGCTGGCCTTCAAAAACATCACATCTTGTCTCTCCTCACCTCATAACTTGCTAGTGGCTCCACATAACATCCCAAGAAAAACCCAGGTCATGTCATGGTCTGCCGGTTGGCTGTAATTTGCTCCTGGCTGGTAGCCACCATTCTTCCCCTTGTTCATTGCATTTCAGGCCCACTAGCTCTTTTGCTGTTCCTTGAACAGCATACTTTTCCACAGTATTGCTTTTGTATTTGTTCTTTGCACTGTCTAGAACCTTCTCTCTAGAAATCCACATGGTTAGCTCCTTCATTTCATTCAGCTCTCTTAGGATTTCTCTGATCATCTTACACAAAATTGCAGAGGTGCATGCCTGTAATTCCAACAACTTGAGACTGAGGCAAGTTTGAGCAACTCAGAACTTGTCTCAAACAAGAAATATAAAAGGACTGGGGATGTAGAGTGTCTCTCATTGAATCCCTAGTACAAAGAAAGAGAAAGAGTCATCAATAAATCATTCTAGACCCCTCAATCACACCTGGCATTAATGTTTTACTTCTTTTTATTATTTAATGTCTAACTCCCCAAATACATCCTACCACCTTGCCTAGGTCAGCTTCAGGGGATAAGATTTTTGTTGTATTTTGTTCATTACTACAATCCCAGGCCTAAAATTGTCTGGCACATAGAAGCCATATAATTAATAAATAGCAGTCTTAGGAAAGTTAATCTTTTTCTTTTCAGCTTCATTGCCCAACCCTGGGATACAGTTTAAATCTAGATTTTGACATCTTCCATTTTAGCTTTCATTCCCCTTTCTTTCCTGTGTTGATTGTTGGTTGATTGAGCTGTCCTAAATTATCACATAAGCTTTTTTTTTTTTTTGCCATATTGACTCTGGGTCTTGCTCATGTGAGGCAAACACTATACTACTGAACTGTATCCCCAGATGTCCCAAGTTATTCTTAAAATGTTGAGTGTGTCAGAGCTCTATGGCCCCATGTCAGAGTCCATCTTGGATACAATGGTGGAGTGGGAGGGTGGTGTGCTAAAAATTAGAAACTTAGAGTAGAGGGTCTGAGGCTGTAGCTCAGTGGCAGAGCACTTGCCTAGCATATGTGAAGCACTGGGTTCAATCCTCAGCACCACATAAAAATTAATAAATAAAGGTATTCTGTCCATCTACAGCTGCAAAAATTAAATTAAAAAGAAAGAAAGAAAGAATAGAGTAGAAAGGAGTATTTGGGAGGGGAAAAAAAGAAAAAGAATAAAACCTGAGCTATAGTTTTCTGTTCTGAAAGTGGCTTTATTTTTTTTTCATAATCTCCTCTAGCCATCTCATTTTCACAGGGGTGCAGTCACCAAGCACTTTATTTTATACTTTTGCTGTTTTCATTTAGCAATATAACACAGATCTGTGGTGTTATCACATAGTCTAATCACTACTGTTAATGTGAATGGTATCTTCCTATGAGTGATATTCCATAATTTACTTGGCCTTTTGTCTAATTATTGGCCCTTTTAGTGCTTTCTCTTTTTTGCTATTGTAGGTGTCACTGCAACAGACATCTTACTGTGTTCTTTCATTTTTTTGGATTATTTCCTTAGGTTGCATTTCCTAGAAGGCAACCAGGTCAGGCTGAATACTGTACAACATTGATCTGTCATACTACCTATCATATCCTATTGTATCATACTACCATACATACCTGTCATATCCCTCCCCTCCAAACTAGGACCTGGCAAAGTCCATGAATAACTTAGGATCTCAGATATGCATGATCCACTCTATTGTACTCACATCCAGAGACAGCCCTGTCCTTTTACCCAAACTCTAGATTTTAGAGGCATCAGGCTACTTACCATTTTGTAGCAGGAACTTGTTTGTCTTTCCCTCCAGCATTTGAGGGTATTACATCACTGGGGAGTGGGTGGTGGTGACTGGACTATCCGCCATTTGCTTTCCAGAAGAAGAACAATAGTTCATTGTGCTATCTCCTTCCAGTGTTTAGGATCCCCCCCCCCCAATTATCCCCTGGGAGTGGAGAACCATTCTCTTTTGGTGAATGAACCTCTGTTTCCAACAACTCTCAGCCTTTGAGAACCTTCTAACTAGATTCTGGGCTGGGCTGGAAGGGACCTCCAGAGAATAAGCACACCTCAAGGCCAGTTTCCAGCCACAGGAAGAGTTAGTCCTAGTTTAGTTAAGCAGCTGCTTCTCGAGCTCATTGTAGGGACTTTATGTAATTAGACCCAGCGCCTGATACTTGTCCCTGAGAAGCACAGCCAAGGATTTGGGGGGTCACAGGCAGGTAAGACACCACTAAGATGGGGAATCAGTAGAGGCTTCAGGCAGAGGTAATGCCTTGGGTGGTCTAGAAGACTTCTGAATTTCAACAGAGAAGAGACCTTGTAGTTTTAAAAGATGGGACAAGAACATGTGGGCAGGTAGATAAAAGTGGAGGGAGAGATAAAGTAGTTGGAGTAAAAATGTAGAAGGTCTTGCATGCCAGAATGAGAACCCAAACATCTTATTGTCTCCTCTGTTTACAAATCCCATGCTAAAATATCCTACCCTGACTGGTTTCTGAATAATCAGGATTAATGAGCCCCTTCCTGAGACATTTCCTGTGGCTGTATGCCATGTGTCACACTATCTCAGATGCCAGCTTATTAAATCACTGCGTCTATCCTCATAGGGTAATTTTGCGTCTTTGAAATGTTTTCAGTTGTCTTATTTGAGCCACAAATGACTCAGTGTCTCCCTCCTGTTAGAAACCTCTGTTTGGGGTTTTTAAGTCATCAGAGTCCTGTCCCCTAACTGTACCTGATAATGTCAATCATTAATGTATCTATGCTCCTGGGAATGTTTTTATATTCTCTCAAATAGCTGGGGATTGGGGGCATAATGTTGCCTGGTGGGTAGAGCAGCCCCACTTCATGCTGTAGTTGTGAACTAATTCTCTAGGTGCTGGTGGTGGCCAGAGGACCATTTCACACAGGCCTGGGAGCTTTAAGATAGGGCCAGATGTCTGGGTGTTTCTTGTTTCTTTTTGGAAGACAAATGTGTGATGCATCTTATGAGGAGGTTAATCCAGCTTACCTGGCCTCTCCTAACCTTGGTCTTATTTTCTGGCAGGCAGAGGTGGAGGAGACACTGAAGCGACTTCAGAGCCAGAAAGGAGTTCAGGGAATCATCGTGGTGAATACAGAAGGTACACTCTTCAGCTATGACTTGCCCCTGGCAACCCCCAGAAAACAGCCCAAACACAGCATAACACTTTTTAACTAAGCCCCTTCATGGATCTGATCTAAGTGTTCTGTTTTTTTCTTTTTAACACTTCCCGTGTTCTAACAATATTATTGAAATTCTGATTTTTTTAATCTTCATTTTATTTATTTATTTAGAGGAGAGAGAGAGAAAAAAATTTTTTAATATTTATTTTTCAGTTTTCGGTTGACAAACATCTTTATTTTATTTTTATGTGGTGCTGAGGATCGAACCCAGCACCCCTTACATGCCAGGGAAGCACGTTACTGCTTGAGCCACATCCCCRGCCCATATTTATTTATTTTTGTGTGGTACTGAGGATTGAGCCCAGGGCCCTGCACATGCTAGGCGAGCCCTCTACCACTGAGCTACAACCCCAGCCCTGAAATTCTTTTTTTTTTTTTAATATGCAATCATTCTTTACTTATTTATTTATTTTATTAGTTGTTCAAAACATTACAAAGCTTTTGACATATCATATTTCATACATTTGATTCAAACGGATTATGAACTCCCATTTTTACCTCGTATACATATTGCAGATTCACATCGGTTACACATCCACTTTTTTTACATACTGCCATACTAGTGTATGTTGTATTCTCCAGCCCTGAAATTCTAATTTTAAATAAAGGAAAAATTCAACTAGTTCTACTACCCTGACAGTCACACATTTCAACTTCCATTCTTTTTTGGCCCTTGTGACCATCAGCCACTTTTCTGATGGTCATAATCATAGTTGGTACTATTTGCATATGCTTATGTTCAAAATTTTCTAAAATTGCTTCACAGTTCACATGAGAAAAAAAAAATTTTTTTTTTAATACTGGGGATAATGACCCAAGGCCTCAGGCCTGCTTGGCACTGCTCTACCACTGAACTACAGTCCCAGCCCCTTTAAGCAAAAAAATTTTTTTTTTTTTTTTTTTTTTAAGCAAAAAATTTTAAGTACCAGTACAATGTTTATTAACCCACTTACATTGTTTCTACTCTTTTGTGTACCCATTAAATCTGTATTATGTATCCATTTGTGTTGATTTTACCTTTTAGTTAGGTGATACTCTGGATGACTTCTTTGTGCCCATAGTTTTTTCCCCCTTTCTTCTGGGGGCATTATTTGAACAACTTGAATGATACAGATAGTAATTTTCTCAAACTGTGCTAGACGTAGTAAAGAAGGGAACTAACCTTTATCGTATACCTGCTCCACTCCAGGCTGAGGACTGGTGCTTTACAACCATACTGTTTCCTTAAAACGGCCTGTGCCCTCCATTTGCAATGGAAAAAAAAAAAAAAAAGTCTAGAAATTTAATTAACCTGCCATTACAGAGATAAAATTACATCTGAGCCTGTCTGAGTACACCTATGTGCTTTTTCCCACTCTGCTGCACTGTGAAGAACCAGAGAGTGGCTGCTGGTCTTGTGGCCCTAGGCCTTGATGTCTGGACAGCATCAAGGACAAGGGCTCTGGAAAAAAGCAATTCTGAGTTTGTATCCTGCTTCTTCTCCCGACTAACCGCATGACCTTCAGCAAGTCACTTAAGCATATAAATGTGGATATTATATCTACATTATAGGGTTGTAAATTATTAACTGAGAATAAACAATTATTTGTTTACTATGGTATTGTCACCATCAGTTCTGAGCTCTGAGGTATTTGTTTACATKAATCCATATACCTGGTCAGGTTCCCCTGTTGGGTTGGGGGAAACCACATGCTTTGTGTCTCTAGACCACAGTGTTTCCCAAATTTATCTAGTCACCTGAAACTCTTGTTTAAAAACCTACAGCTTTCCAGGCCTTTCCACACAAAGTATGATATATTAGGACTAAGGTGAAACCTGGGAATCTGTTTGCCATTCACTCCAGGAGATTCTTTGATCAGACTTAATTCTGCCTTAAGGGCAAATTCTAATAAAAAGCTGAATGAGCTGGTGTGGTGGCACTCACCTATAATCCCAGTGATGGGGGAGGCTGAGGCAAGAGGATTGCAAGTTCAAAGCCTGCTTCAGCAACTTAGTGAGAATCTGTCTTAAAATAAATAAAGAGGGCTGGGGATGTGGCTCAATACCCCTAGGTTCAATCCCTAGTATTAAAAAAAAAAAAAAAAAAAACACTGAATGAGTGCTACAGGCTTAAGACTCACAGCAGATCTGTATGCATCTGATGGCTGCTTTTCAAGACACCACCTAGAATGTAGTTTTCAGTACTGGGCTCCTTAGTCTAAGGCTCATATGCTTCCTCTGGGTTCCTTCTCCTCCATGTCAATCAGAGCAGCTGCTCTCAAATCATTAGCTTGTGTTTCTGTATTAGTTTCAATTAGGAAAAATGTTTTACTAATTTAAAAGCCACCCTACTAGCAAGAAAATAACCAAAAAACTACAGTGTTGGGACAGGTACACGAAGACATTGCTGCTGTTACCAGCAGCTTGGGTGATGAAGGTCCATGATAGCAAGGACTTTGTCTGAGTCACCTCTGGACACCTGGTCCATCCAGCAAGGCTCTGGATTCAGGTCAGTGAGTGTTTGTTGAATGACCAAATCATAATCAGTGATGCCATCAGCCCTTTGATTTGGTAATTCCATTCTGAGGAATGTGTTCCAACAAAATAATCCCAAAGGAAAAAAACAAAACTTTTGCAAGCATATAGATGCCATAATAACTAGATTAATAATCACAGTAATATCTATAATAGCTAGTATGATTGGAAATAATAATGCCCTTTTCCTGGCACCATTATAAATACTTGATATAGACTCTTTTTTTTCCTGGTACTAGAGACTGAACCCAGAGCTTCACACATACTAGGCAAACACTCTACCACGAGAGATGAACTCATTTAATCCTTCAAACAGCAAAATAAGGATAGAGTTATTAATATCTCCATTTTATAATGATAAAACCAAGCCTTAGGAAGAGGTTAAGCAGTATCCAAAGGACAGAGGGAAGAGTGGTGGACCTAGAGTTCCAACTCTATAGTCCATGTGTTTGGCCTCTGTCCAGCCTGTGTGCCCCCCTCCATCCCCGTCCCCAAGTGGTCAGGCAGAGGAATGGCAGACCTGCAGATACACCCATACAAGTGGGAATGTCTCGTCAACATGAAGAGRTGGCGAAGATGCAGACCTCTTGGGAGTCAGTCTTCCCTCTCCAGCCTTAGTTCCTTGGTCTCTCTCCTTGGTGGGGGCTGGGGGTATCTCTGCAGGCCATAGTCTGCCTTCCTCTCAGAGACTTACTTAATCTTATTGCTTTACCTCTTGCTCTTTCCTCTGCCTCAAATGGCCTTTCTTTTCTCTACTGATTTAAATGTCACCCACCTATAAAGACCCCCTCAAATGTTCCTCTTTTAGGAAGCTAAGCCTTTGATGATAATCTTCTCAACAAACCATTATCCCAACAAGGAAATAGAGGCTCAGAGAGGTTGAATGATGTGTCCTAGATGAGATCATGCAGGCTCTGCAGTGTCCTGAAAAGGGTCTGCTCTCCTCTGTSTCCAACAACCAAAACAGTGCTGGCACAGAGGTGGTGCTAACAAAAGTATCTGTTCATTTTTTTAAGTTTTTTTTTGTTGTTGTTTAAAGGTTTTGGTGTAGTGGAAGGGATGACCTGGTTGCATAACCAGGACAGATCTGAGCCACAGCTCAGAAATTGTGCCCCCGCCCAGCCATTTCTGTGGACTACACAGTCTCCATTTGTGAAGGCAAAGGCTAGGTAGGCCACCTTTGGGGTAACTTAAGGTCTRTAAACTGTGAATCTGTAATTAATCTGAAATTCTTCCCAGTTTGGGTCCCTGCACACTTGCCTCCATGTTTTCTTTTATTGAGGGAGTGAACAAATGATTACTTTCTTGTCTCCTTTACACATTGCTCACTTATAGCATGTGGTCAAAGCCAGACACACTGGCATATGCCTATAATACCAGCAGCTCGAGAGGCTGAGGCAGGAGGATTGCAAGTTCAAGGCCAGCGTCAGCAATTTAGCAAGGCCCTCAGCAACTTATGGATATGTGCCTCAGTGGTTGAGCACCGCTGGATTCAATCTCTAGTACCAGAAAAAAAAAAAAGGAAAGAAAAGAAATGTTATCAAACTAATGCCCAGTCACAGGTATCCACTTTTCCATAGTCTACCTTCCTCTCAGAGACTTATTTCATCTCATTGCTTTAGCCCTTGCTCTTTCCCCTGCTTCAAATGTTCAAATACATAGTAGGCTCTTTGATTTTTTTTTTTTTTGATAGGGGGTGGTGCTGGGCCTTGTTCAAGGCCTTGTATGTCCTACGCACCCATTCTCTACCACCAAGCTACACRTTCCTCTCCTTCTCAAATGGCCTCCATCTATGAAAGTGGATCCCTGTGACCACTCATTTATCAATAGCAAGAAATGCTTAATTTCCAAGGGTTCTGGTGAGAGAAATCTGAGTGGGTTCTGCCTTTAGGGAGCTTAGAGTCTGGTGGGAGATGAATGTAATGATTACTTCCCTACCAGTGTGTTGTCAAACTTGATAAACTGCTCTAAAGGAAAACTAGGTAGAGCTGGGACCAAAGAATAGAGGCACTAGAATGAAAGTTCCAGGCCAAGAAAAGGTGGCCTGTGAAAAGGTGGCCTTGTGGTATATAAAAGAGATGGTCTGGTGGGTGGGGATATAACTCAGTGTTAGGGCACTTGCAAGGCCTAGGTTCAATATCAGCACTGCTCTAAAAAAAAAGCTAACGTCAAGAGGTCTGATTATGCAGATCTATAAGTCAAGTCTTGGCACTGGTAAGACTTAGCATCAAGACCCAAAAATGAGCTAATGTAGGGTTCCTGGCCAGATAGCAGAAACAGTTAGCCCAGGGCCCCATCTGGTCCTGACTCTCAGCAGGTAGGCTCCGTGTTAGCAGTGTTTTTGCAAGTTTAGGAACAGTCACATCCCCTCAGGGAATAAGGAATGGGTTTTATTGGGTGGGTGATGTTGGTAACAAATCACATTTATTAAGCATGTCCTATAACTCAACTTTCTTAAATGCATTGAACAGTATTCATTCCTCACAGTGGCACTTTGAAATAGAGGCATCATTTCACACACGAGGCAGTGGAAGCTAGGGAGATTCAATCACTTGCATAAAGTCGCATAGCTATGGAAGAGCAGAGGAGGGAGCAAGCCCGGGTCATCAGATTCAGTGTTCCTACACCATCACCTCTCCCATTTTGGATAGATTACAGCAGACACTGCTCACTGCTCATCCTCAGGAAGGTACAGCCACCGAGCCAGGCTCCATTGGACCCTGGTGTGCACATTGTTGCTATCTACCAGCAGCCCTGATGTTCCAGTCCTCTTGTCCTTTAAAGGCAAGTGACCACCACAACCCATTCACATGATTTCACTTGACTCAAAACAGCCTGTCTGACTCAGCTGCCTCTTTTGCCACCATGTCCTCTTGCCATGCTCATGTTCCTGGTACCCTGAAAAGACAAGGTTGGGCCAGTTTCTTGCTACCCATTGAAGGTAGGCTTGAGAACAACTGCCTTTGGCTGGTCTGTTACTGGTCACTTGTGGGCCAGATTATTGGGGTCCTAGACTCAAAGTCTGGCCACTTGTATATGGGGCGTAACTTGGGTTGCATCCTTCAAATGAGAGCGTAAGCTGGTGAGCTCTTGAATTCTCGTAGATGGAGCCTTTTGCTGATAGGTCATGGTCAGTTCACAGGCACCTCATGACTCAGTGTTATTCCTCACCTCCTTGACAATAGACACCATCCAGTGAGTTAAGTTCATTTAATCCTCAAAAGACAAACTGGGCTTGGTGGTGCACKCCTGTAACCCAGCTACTCAGGAGGCTGAGGCAGAAGGATCACAAGTTGGAAGCCGACCTTGGCAACTTTATTTGTCCCAAAATAAAAGGGGCTCAGTGTAACTCAGTGGTAGAGCACCCCTGAATTCAAGCCACAGTACCGCGCTTGCGCGCGCGCGCGCGCACACACACACACACACACACAAGACTTGATAATGATGTTCATTGCCTAGTTAATTATACTAACAAAATCCTAGCTTAAATACCCAGCAGTAGAGAAATGGTGAGTCTGTGGGTTGTTCACACACATAGTAGGCTGTTTGCTTTCCCCCCACCCCCTGGGGATTGAACCTAAGACCTTGTACATCCTAAGCACCCATGCTCTACCAGTGAGCTATACCAGAACCCCTCAGTGTGGGCTCTTTGAAAGAGATAGCAATAGGGTATGCACAGACATAGACACATGCTTTGATTTAGGGTCACCATCATATGTGTAGACTGTGTGTTATTGTTGTTTTTAATAACTTTATTTCATTTATTTTTTTAATATTTGTTTTTTAGTTATACACAATAACTTTATTTTGTTTATTTGTTTTTATGTGGTGCTGAGGATCGAACCCAGTGCCTCACACGTGTGAGGAAGCGCTCTACCACTAAGCCACAACCCCAGCCATAGACTGTGTCTTTTTAACTAGACTCTAAGCCTGCCTTGAATGGGGATGGTGATGGTTATATGCTGGCACAAACTGACCTTTTCTCTGCTTTCTCCTTTTCAGTCTTTACAAATTTGTTAGAGCTTTCCTCCAGGTCAGGTTCTGRATATTATGAAGGAACATCTCTCCTTTTATTGCTGAAAAACAGATAGACAATGTGGCTCTGGGAAAGAGGCCTGGCAGTGAAGCCCACAGGCCTGTGTTTGAGTCCTGGCCCYACTGCTCGTCGTCTGCCCTGTGCCTGTAGGCAGGTTGTCCCACCACTCAAGGAACTTGTGGCCTCATTGGCAAATGAAGATGTATCACCACCCACTGAGGGTTCTGGGCCTGGTGCTGACATACTTAAATACTTAGCACTGCGTCTGTCAGATAGCAAGCCCTCTGTAAATAGTGGCATTATTAACTACTACTCCAGTACTCTAGAGTTTTGTGGAGTTGAGTTGGGAGCTTAGCAGAAAGGGGCTCTAACATCCTGTTCAATTTCCATTTGCTTTCCCTTCAGGAATTCCCATCAAGAGTACCATGGACAATCCCACCACCACACAGTATGCCAACCTCATGCACAACTTCATCTTGAAGGCAAGGAGCACTGTGCGAGAAATTGACCCCCAGAATGACCTCACTTTCCTTCGAATCCGCTCCAAGAAAAATGAAATTATGGTTGCACCAGGTAAGGGATCTTTCACTCACCACTTGGAAACAGATCCTCACAGCAGGTTCTCCATAGCTATCAAGAAGACCTCACACATTGGGATCTGCTCAGGTCCAAGGAGGGCCTGAGGAATTGAAGGAATCCAGTTGCCCCATTGACTAGCCAGACTCTAGCTGGTGTCCCCCAACAAATCCTTTCTCACAGTGACTGTAGGCCTCAGAAGGGAATCACTCTTGGGGTAAGAAAGACACAAGCATAACACAGATCACCCTTACCTTGACAGGGAGAAACTCAATGAGCATTTGGGACATGGGGAGTGCATGATCAGGTCTGCTCAAGGCAGTTGGCAAAGGCTCAACAAAAGAGGGGATGGTGGAGCTGAACCTTGAAGGCCAAAAAAGAATAAGCAAGGCAGAGGGGCAGAAAAAGAATTAGAGGGAAAATAATTTATTGATTCTAAGCTAAAATATATGTCATCTCTCTAGGCCCCATACAGCCAGCTTTTTCTCCGACACTAGAGCAGATGGCTATATTATTTTTCCATGAAGAGCTTGGCATGTATATGGGGACTGTGTGGTACAGCCAAGCCTATCTTTAGGTTTTGGGATCATTCTCAGGGTGATGAGATGCTTTTCCTGGGAAGAGCCCACAGGAATGGAGACCACCGCAGGAAACTGCAGGGCCACCATTCACGGACGTGATTCTCCAGGACTGTTTTTGCATTGTTACTTCTCTCTCACCCTCTGTTTTGCCTGAGCCATAGTTGAATGTGTAGGTTAGTTCCCACTTTATGAAGTTGTGTTTTTTTTTTGTTTTGTTTTGTTTTTGAGAGAGAATTTTAATATTTATTTTTTAATTTTCAGTGGACACAACATCTTTGTTTGTATGTGGTGCTGAGGATCGAACCCGGGCCGCACGCATGCCAGGCGAGCGCACTACCACTTGAGCCACATCCCCAGGCCCAGTTCCCACTTTATGATACAGCTAGGTTGCAGTAACTGCTTGTCTAGAGTGTCAGAACCTGTGTAGAAAGTGAGACTGATCCAACTTAAAAGGAGCCTCAGACACCAAACTCATCTGAGAGGACTTGATCCTATGAGCAGAGGTGTTTAGGGCAGGGGGCGATATGATTGTTGGGTAGGTCCTGGATGAAGGAGCACAATGGGTAGACTGGGGACATGAGTGTCCCTGCACTTGGCAACGCTGCAGAATTCTGGGAATTTGATAGGCAGTCACCACTATCAGCAGCAGGGTAGCATTGGTTCTGTTCCAAGGTCTGTTCTTACCCAGTCCAGTTGTCTGGAAGGATAGGAAAAAGAGAGCCAGAAAGCTAGTCACAGGGCCCCCAGCCTCCCTGGGACAGTCTCTAGAGGGTGGAGATAGAGCAAGTCAGTCACAGAGTACATAAAGGTAACTTAAGAGGAATTAAAAAAAAAAAAGCCTTACATATTTAATGCATCTCATACCAACTGATGCCTGATTCTACTTTTTTATAACTTTATTTTATTTATTTTATTATGTGATGCTGAGGATCGAACCCAGTGCCTCACACATGCAAGGCAAGTGCTCTACCATTGAGCCATGACCCCAGCCCCTGACGCCWGATTCTGTTAGGGAAAAAAGTTGGGGGAGGCACGGAATCTTTTTTTCCTTTTTCCGGTGAATTCTTATATGGGCAAGTCATGGAACATCTCTATAACCACATCTATAAAATGTCAAGTCAGGTACTATGCTGCTGTGGTCCTCTGAGACCTTGTCTGGATAAATTTCTAGGCTTGGATTGGGGCAGAAAGCCTTGGAATCAAATTTGAACTGAAATCCCCCAAAACTTCTTGCTGTATGACTGTGGAGGACACATCTGCACAGCCCTSAAGGTGGACCCAGGAATCATCCCTTGACTTACTCTGTGTGTCAGCAGATCTGGGCTCCTCATTGACATACCTGGGAGCTTAAAGTGTGCGGCAAGGGCAAATGACATGGTTGCCACATAGACAAACTCTCCATGAAAAGTGTCTGTCAACCTGAAGCTTCTAAGAATGTCTCCTGAAAGGGCAGAGTTGCGTGAAAGCCCCCAGTCATGTGTGTCTCAGGCCAAGCTTCTCAAACTTGGCCTTGAGGACCTACAGGCATTCAGAAGCTATGAATGTGCCTGAGTCTCGGATGGGCAGCTCCCAGGTTAGGGGTTCGCAGGCTCAGAGGCTCCACGGCCTTAAAGTTGCCAGCGCTCACGGGGCCAGCACAAGTCCTGCAGGGAGTGTGAATGCTCTCTTGCTCACCTTCACCTCTCCCCTAGCCGGGCACACACACACATGCTGGGTGTTATTCTGGAGAGTGCGTGGTACGATACCGTCACCTTAAACGGGTGTTTCTTCCGATTCCCACACTGYTGTGCCTCAGCCACACTGTTGCTCTCAAAGCCTGCATCCTTCTCCCTGGGGCCCTTCCACATGCTATCTTGCTGTGGGAACATTCCATCCTTCCTTGTCACTTGGCCATCCAACTGCTTGTGTGCAATTTTAAGTCTGTTTTCTCCACTAGACAGTAAGTTCCATGAGGGCAGGGGCTTGGAAACATTTAGTAAATATTTATACTAAGCATAGTAAACATTTAACAAATATCTATTAATAAATATTTGTTGAATAAATAAAGGAATGGCTTCCTAACTGACAYCCCACCACTATGGGACAGGGGTGGAATCAACAATGGGAATGGGGTCAGGGATGTTTGTGGGGCATGGTATTCAGGATGAAAATCAATGATTTGACACACTTTGATGTGTCCAAGAAAAAAATATTAGGTGTTGGTGCCAGAACTCCCGTAGGCAGGAGCCACTGACCAGAGCTTTGGAGKCATTAGACTGGATTGCCATAAGGACTGTAGTTAGCACCCCACACTGAGCAGCCTGGAGCAGCCCTGCCAGGAACAGTTCCTTCCTGCCCCTCTGATTGACTTCCTGGTCAAACCTAGAATCTGCTTCCCAGGCCAGTAATAGCAGTAGGTGGTTTCAGAAATTGACTCTCCATAGAAGTACCAATTTCACCCCATCCTGGCCCAGAACAATTCACACTAAAGAGCGTTTTCAGACAGATTTGGTTTTCAGTTTTTAACCTTACTTATATAAAGCCACATTGACTCAGCATAAACAAACTTCAAAATACAACCTCCCACAGAGCACTTGCCATGGTATTATAGGACTTGGAACTAGTAATTTGATATAAAAGACATTGGTATTGTTGATTGTGTCTGTTTTTATCAGTGGCTTTTTATTCTTTCTGATTTTAATAGCATTCTTTTATGTATGCAGATTACTTAGCCATGAAACTGGTAGTCCCTTTGTTTCTGTTTCTTCCCAGTTGCAACATCCTGTCATCTTGGGAAGATCCAAACTTTAGACTTGAATCTGAGCAGCCACAAATGACCGAGATCCTGCCACTCTTTCATGTTCAACAGGGGGGCAGCAGACCAGAGGGGTTCAGAGCATAAGGCCAAACCTGCTTCCCTCCCTTCCATATATATACAAATTTCTTTCCTTTTTTTTTTTTTTTTTTTTTTTTTTTTTGAGGATAGGGGCGGGGGGGCTGGGGATTGAAACCATGGCCTTGTGCATGCAAGGCAAGCATTCTACCCAAAGTACCAGTGAAAAACAGTTCACCCAGGTCCTGGCACATGTAAGCCTTTGTAAATGTTTGTGATTTGATTGTGAAGTGGGCAGAGTTAAAACTTTCTGCTTCTTTAATTTTTCTTCTGTACACTAAGGATGGTCAGGCTCACCTCTGAGGACTTGGACTTCCTATGATTTCTCTCTCTCTCTCTCTTTTTTTTTTTTTTTTTGGTACTGGTGATTGAACCAAGGGATGCTTTACCACTAAGCTGTATCCCCAGCCCTTTTTATTGTTTGAGACAGTCAGTTAATAAACTAGTAACTGCTGTCAAGTAACTAAAAGAAGACTGGGTGGCTCTTCTGAGGGCCTGCTGTCTCTGAAGGGAGCGATCACTTCCCTGCAACCCCACCAGCAGGAGCCCCCACAGGAAGCTGGCGAGTTTATCTTGTTTCTGAGCAATAGGAAATAGCCTGGCATTGATGCTTTTTATTAAAGCGTTCTTCTCCTCCTCCCTCTTTGTGGTAACTTAAGGAGTTACTTGCTTTCTATTATGTTTTTCTGCCATTTTACATTTAGTGATTTGTTTTTCCATTTCTCTCTTTTGCAGATAAAGACTATTTCCTGATTGTGATTCAGAATCCAACCGAATAAGCCAACTCTTCTGGCTCCCTGTATCATTCCTTAATGTAATGCCCCAAAGAATACTAGTGTTAATCATGTCAAATGACTGGCCCGTGGAAATCGCCCTAGAGCCCATGCAAACCAATCCAGTGACCAAGGTTGGTCTGGCAGCTGTGCCCAGCCCCACCAGAGGAATCCTTCTGCTGTTCCAGGCACCCCAGAGTTCCCRGGAGGGCTCTCTTTCCTCACTTCCAGGTTTTGGAGCAAGAGCCTGTGAGAAGCCCACACCCAGCTTCCTTCTGACCTTTAGTTCACTTTGTTGCCCTTGGAAAAGGCTGTTTTTCTTTAACTAAAAATAACCAGAATGCTTACCCTGCTGTTGTGTCTTTAAACACTAGGTTGGAAAGGCCTCTCTCTTCCTGTGTCACCACATGGTCTGAAGACCAAACCTGTGGCCTCTCCGGGCCCAGCCATCAATTGTGTTCCTGGTCCCCCAGATCTGTTCCTCACAGCACCGGTGGCCATACTTCCTGAGCATAGCTTGGTGTGTAACTGGTGTCCTGGTTTGTGGGCTTCTTGTCCACTTCTAGGCACTCCTTTATCATTTCCCACTCCTGCCAATGTTTTCTATTATACTATTCTGTGGAAAGGAAGAATGATACCTGTTGAGCACCTAGAATGCACCTGGTGTGCACATCACAGTACCTTCTGCAGATAGTGTTAAAGCCACCTGGCTAGAGACAAGCTTGCCAGGGCCTCATAGGTTGTGACCAAATAGTACCTGCCCCCCTTTTTGCAGTACTGCCGATTGAACCCAGGGATACTTTACCCAGCCCTTTTTATTTTGTTATTTTGAGACAATTTCACTAAATTGTCTTAAGCTGGCCTTGAAACTTGTGATCATCTTGCCTCAGCCTCCCAAGTTGCTAGAATTACAGGGGTGCACCATCATACTCGAATACTTTTATATTCTTTAGTTTTTCCTATATATTTAGGGAAAACGTGAGCAAAGAACAGATTACATATATCTTGTTCTTATTTTATAATAATCTTCCTTTACTATACATATGCTTTATTTGGTTGTTCATTCAACAGGTATTTAGTGAATGCCTACCATGTCCAGTTCCTGAGAATAAGCTCTGACCATTAGTTTTCAGGTTTTTGTGACATGTCATGAGGGTGGTAGACCACTGCCAGGGCCATGTAGTCCACAGTTAAGAGAACAGGGGCCACAACCACTTACCCAGAGACAGGAGAGAACTCATGAACAACTAAAAATATGAGGGGAATAAATTCAACAGAAGAGTCTCAAGATAAAGTTGAAATTTCCCAACCTTAGACACGAGAGAAAATGGAAAAGTTGAGAAAATTAAAGGATCAGTCTGGGATATTCAACTTCTGATTAACAGGGGTTCCAGAAAGAGAAGATAAAATTTATAAATGAAAGACTATAAGAAAAATTCCTAGAGCTAAAAATAGGAATTACTAGAATAAAAGTCCTGAGAGTCCAGAGTAATTGCTTTAAAAAAAAAAAAAAAAAGACCTAGGCCAAGCCAGGCATGGTGGTACAYGCCTGTAATCCCAGCAGCTCCGGAGGCTGAGGCAGGAGGATCGAGAGTTCAAAGCCAGCCTCATCAAAAGTGAGGCAATTAGCAACTCAGTGAGACCCTGTCTCTAATAAAATACAAAATAGRGCTGGGGATGTGGCTCAGTGATTGAGTGTGCCTGAGTTCAATCCCTGGAACCCACCAAAAAAAAAAAAAAAAATGCCAACCCCATTATCATGAAATCTCGGAACATGGTGGACAAGGCACACAAGATTAAAGACTGAAATGGCAGCCATGCACAGTGGTGCACACCTCTGTAATCCCAGGCCAGCCTCAGCAATTTAGCCCCTGATCAATTTAGTGAGATCCTATCTCAAAATAATAAAAGGCTGAGGATGTGGTTCAAAACAAAACAACAACAAAGCCTCTGGATTCAATCCCCAGTTTTTTAAAGGCAATTCTGACAGCATCACCAGAAATAGGTAGTTTCTGCCCTCAAACTTCTGGAGGGAAAAAAAAAGACAACCTGAAGTTCTCAGCCCAGTCATTTTAAGTGAAATATTCTCAGACTGACAAGTCTGCATGTCTTCATCCCCCATGCACCTWTTCTCAGGAAGCTACTGGAATATGTACTTCATTAAAGCAAGGGAATAAAGCAAAGCAAGCAGATACAGAATCCAGGCAATCAGAGACTCAATGCATGGCAGACAAGGGAAGCTTCCAAGCAATGGTGAAGAGCACTGGGCAATAAGCCCAGAGAGTAAGTGCAAAGGGGAAATGTTTCCAAGAAGAGAAAAATAATAGGCTGTCTGATGTATCTGAATATATAAGAGGAGGTTTTGGTTCTCCAGAGATTTTAAGATAATTTAGTATCAGCACCGGAAAATAAAAGTTAYACAATTAAAAGGAAATCCCAGCTGGGCTTGGTGGTGCACACCTGTAATCCCAGTGACTCAGGGGACTGAGGCAAGAGGATCACAAATTGCTGGGATTACAGGTATATGCCGCCATGCCTGATTTTTTTGATACAAGTTTTTAATATTCTAACAATATGCTTGTAAACTGGTGCCTCCCAGCCCTTTTCCAATAAAGTAATTGAAGAGTGAAGAGAATTTTATCTACAATTCCCTGGAGAACTGGAGCATTACCCAAAGGGAAGCCACCACAAGCATGACAGATCTCTGTGAAGTCTCCTCCTATCTTTGAAGATGAACATGTGTTTTACATCCTGGGAGTTTAGTGGAGAATGCAGGGTTGAGGGAAGCAGGAGCCCAGTTAGCCAGTGAGAACTGGAGGTGACTTGGACAAGAGAGGTTTCATGGCCCAGAAGTGGGGCCTTCAGAAGTGTGTCAGGACTTGGTGTTGACCACGGGTGTTAGATATGAAGGAAGACTCCAGAGTGCTTGTTGGCAACCAGGTACTTCCAGTTACGGAGATGGGAATGAGTGGGGGATTTTGAAGGGGTAGAGGGAAACAAAGTGGCCTGTTTAATTGAAGCTATTAGTTACCAATATGTCTAATGAGATGTGTTGAGTGAATTGCTGAGTACACTATTCTGAGGGTTCATGCTGGACATGCAGATGTGTAGTTATTAGCCTATTTATTTATTTTAGTTATAGGTGGACACAATAAATTTTATTTTTATGTGGTGCTGAGGATCAAATCCAGTACCTCAGGAATACCAGGTGAGCGCTCTACCTCTGAGCCACAACCCCAGGTCTCTGTGATTGGTATTTAAAAGTCAAGGGACTTCAGAGGAATTCATCAGAGTGAAAGAAGGAAGAGAGGGAGGAGAAATGGGGTCTGAAAGCAGCACCTGATAGCTTCATCTCTGGACTCTTGTAGAAGAGCAGCGGTGAGAAGACTTGGTGGTCACAGAAGTTTCACTTAGGGTGTAGTTCAGCCTCAGAAAACCCAGAAAAACTGGTTTATAAACAACAGGACCAAAGTTGATCCGGTCAGTAGTCCAGAGCCCAGGTTCATTTCAGCTTCTAGTTCCGCTACCTCCAAGATAGCTGTTGAAACCCCAGACCTCACATTCAAATTCCAGGCAGCTGATGGAGGCTGGGGTGGAGAAGGAAATACTCTTTAAGGAGATTTCCCAGAATTTCGCACAACACTTTCCACTGATGCTTACTGACCAGAGTTTAACGACTCGCCCATCCTAACTGCATGGAAACTGGGAAACCAAGTCCTCTATTGGGGTGCGCGGCTGCCCTAAAGGACATTCAGGAGGAATGGGATAGTAGCCTCTGTCACCGMAGCCTGAGGACTGAGGATTTCAAGGAGGAAGTGGTCACGGGACCTGAGGATTGAGGACTCTGTGGCTCTTGACAAGGGCGACGGTGGGGATGGAAGAGCCACTGGAGCGGGATCGGGAGCGGATGCCTAGGGGAGAAGCGGCCAGTACCAAGTGGGGGGGTCGGCCGGGGGTGTGAGGTGGGGGCGCTGAGTGGCCTCCCAGAGCAGCAGAGGCCAAGAGTGAGGAAGGCTGGCACCAGGGCCCGCGTGAAGGGGCTGGCGGCCGCGAAGGAGCCGCGGACCGAGGGCGAGGCGGGCTGGGCGGCCATGGGGCTCCTGCATCCCGGGGCCTGCGGTCGAGGAGACGCACCGCGGAATTCAGCCAGGACTGGGGCTCTGCCAGGTTTACGCAGCAGCAGAGTCAGGGCTTGGGATGTGGAGCCTGTGCAGGGCGGACGAGCGACGGAGAGGGCACGCGCGGTGGCTCGCCTCGGTGGCTGGGGCGACCGCGGCCTCCCGGGGAGTGAGAGTGGAGACGCGAGGGAGGTCCAGATGGGCTGGAGGCCTGGGATAGCGGCTGACTGGCGCGTGGGGACGGGGCATGGCAGTCCACTGAGTCTGGTCAGCTGCTGGGATGGGGCTGGGGCGTGGGGATTGGCTGGAGGCCCTGGTCTGGGCGAAGACAGTGACCTTCTTTTAATGTGCCGAGTTTGAGGAACCCCAATGCCGAGGCGACCTTTGTTCAAGAGGCAGGGCCTCGACCTGAAGCCTGGAGGGACAGGCTGGAGTCAGCCAGAGCACAGATGGCACAGGCTCCCAGGGGTGGCTGAGCACAGCTGAGCACAGGCAGCCTCCCCAGGTGACTGACAGCTCAGAGGACCGATATGGGGGAAGGCGGGGCTTGAGGACACTGGAGCGTGGGGGTGGCACACTGGCCCCCTCCCTGGGGAGGTGGGTTAGAACGAGGGAGGCCAGAGCTGCTGGAGGGACCAGAGCCAGCTGGTGGAGGCCTCCTGAAGCTTGTGGCAGTGGGGTTGATGGTCTTGGCCTCCACCTGCCCAGTGAAGCCAGAGTCTGAGCTTGAGGTTTGAGGACCCCTGCGTGGGTCTTAATTCCTCTGATCTTTGGAAAATCCCACTTGGAGTCTGTAAACAGCAACTCAGAGATAATGACCCTGACTCAAACACCAACGCTCTTGGGTCCTCCCAGTGGAAGCCCATTTTACAAGGGAGATCATCACCTTAAATAAGACATCACATGGGTGATGCCCAAGTTGGTCCAGCTGATTCCTGTCTCTCCCAAGACCCCAGGACTTCTAAGTTGTGCCCTGATTTCAACCTCAGAGGTAGGTTTGGATACTGTCYCCATTTTCAGGTGAAGAATCGAGCTTCCATAGTGAAAGACATGTTCAAATTTATTCAGTAAATGGTGAAGCTGCCTTAGATCCAGGTCTGACTCTGGCCTGCCTGTCTTAGTGCAAACAAGCAAACAGACTCCAAGGAACTGTGTGACCTGTGAGATCACACTGTCATCAGTGGCTACCCAGGCCAGTGGTACTTCACCCTCATGTGACAGCCCAGCYA